CATTAAAAACTTTAACAGATTATGTGGTCCATTCAGGTAATGCTAATTGTGAATACTAATAAGTCTTTTTGATTATTGTTATCTGGTTATTAGTTTAGAGTCAGTATCAATAGATGATCAGTATATTACCCTTTTTCTTGCCAGTCAGTATCAATAAAACTTAAACCCCAGAGTAATTATGTTTTCTTTTTGGCACAGTAAAAGATTTGACTTGATATCATTTGTAAATGAATGAAATGATCAACTCTAGCAACTGAATTAATTGCCTCCAAGTCAGAGATCAGCAAGGATGCTTGGTTGTTTAAAAAGAAGGAAAATCCTTATATTTGATACTGCAGTTTAAACTAATTCTTTCATTCAACAAATACTTAGTACCCATTAAGCATGCATCAGAGATACAAAGTACAGTCCCCACATTGAAGGAGTTTGCAGTATAGTTGAGTCAGAATTCTCCTTATCCTCCACAACACCTAGTAGGAGTCTCGTACATAGATGTTCAAAATTAATTCACTTAGCAAATATTTATTATGTATGCCTAGTATGTGCCAACAGTGGTTGACAGATGATGCCACATTCTTACCTGGCTAATTTCTGTAGGTGAATGCTTCTTGGGAATTACAAATATGTCCATACTTTTCATGGGTTACTAGGAATTAAAATTGGAAAATTATCTTCCATTCTCCCAGCATATAAATAGTGTTTCTTAATTAGTGAAAAGGAGGTTAAATTCATTAGACATCACAAGGCAATGGAAATCTTTCGTAGTAAAAACTGTTCTGCATTGAGAGACTTTCTTTTCTATTAGTTGCAAATATTTAAATCATGTTTTAAGGAATATTTTTCCTTAATTTTAATCTATCCTATAAATATCATTGTGGTGGTAAATTAAACAAAATTTTAAAGCAAGAAAAATTAGCCCCCAGCATAGAAACTCTTTGTTTTGTATCTTATTTTCAAATAATGTGATGTTTTAAACTATTGGTTCACAACTTTGAGGAGGCTTTTGCCTCCTCAAAGAAAACTGGCAATGTCTGGAGACATTTTTGGCTGTCACACTGGGTGAGAGCTTAGGAGGAGGCTACTGGAATCTTGTGGATAGAGGCCAGGGATGTTGCTCAACATCTTGCAATGCACAGGACAGCCCCCTACAACCAAGAATTGTCCAGCACAAAATGTCATAATACCAAGATTGAGGAATGTTGTTTTAGATCGTATATTTGTAGCAAATGGTGAAACGCATCCGAACACTGTATATAACATATAATACCAAAACATAAGAGATTAAAAACAGTTATTTCATTTTTTCTCCACTCAGGATACCTGTTTTATTCAACAGAAGGCTTTTAGATGACGTCTATATACCAGGAAATATAGGTTCCAAACATTTCAAAGGCATAAGGTTTGAGTTCTCAAAGAGTTTGCATTGTAAAAATAGAGATGATATACAAACAAAAAGTTACAAAAGAATATGCCCTGTTTTATCATAGAGCTAAGCAGTAAATAGCTTTGTTGGGTGGGTCAGAGAAGGCTTGACAGAAGAGATGAAGTTTGAGTAGTGTGTAGAAATTCTGCTCAGACGTTAACACTCAGGTGCTAGCTGGGAAAGGACAGCGCAAGCAGAGGGAGTGGTGTGTGTGAAAACCTGGAAGCTTGTTAAACAGCAAGCATTCATTGTATGTAGTTTATTATGTTGAGATGAGTCTGGAGTTTTAGGTAGAGACCTGCTTTAGGAGGACTTTGAATCCAGGATATTTGGACTTCATCCTGAGGATAGGGGTGTGATATGACTAATCTGCATTGTACAAAGATCATTCTGATGGTTATATGCAGAATGGAGATGAGAAACACTTTACAGTATTTTAACTGACACAGTAGATCATGAAGGTCTGAGATAACATAGGAAGTTCCAATGCTCAGGATGTGGTATCTCTTGAATGGTATAGGAAAACAGTAGATAAAAAAGATGTCGGATAACTTGTGTGTTTCACAGATGGTGGAACCATTAACCAGGACAGAAAATATAAAGTCAGAAGGTACATGGTGGAACTAATTTTTCTCCAAAGATGTTTTTCTTGAGGTGTCTGTAAATGTATGTTTTTTGGCCCAAGAGTTTATTGAATACTTACCCAATTATGAGTATTAGGAATGGCATTAAAGGAAGCATGGCAGCTTAGGGGCAAAGAATTCCACTTGTAAATATGCCAGTGATTGCATTGAAGGCCTTGGAAGTATTACTTTTTTTTTCATCTGTAATATTTGGAGTGTTCTGATGGAAACGTACCTCTTAGGGGAGTTGATATAACTGATATTGAGCTAAAGAATAATAAATTCAGACTAAATAATTGACTATTATACAGCATTTGAAAAATTATAGTAGTTAAACATTCTGGGGGCCATAGTAACCGTTTGCCATGATAAATGTTTATACACTAAAGTTAGGTTCCTAAGATCACTCATTTTGATAGTCTTTGAATAACATCGGCTGAGTTGCATGGATTGCCTCTGGTGTGCTTTAGATAAGCTTTTGTTCTTAGTTTTCTACTTTTCATTACTCATGTATAATTTTTACCTGCTTTTGCATTAGAAGGAAAACTTTGTCCTACTGGTTAGATCCAAACTTCTTGTGCTAAGTATTTTTTATACGTTCACTGTAAAAAAAAAAAAAAATACTACCTTCAGAATGTTCACTGAAAATGCTTGGCTAATGAACATGTAAAGAAAAACAGTTGTAAAATGTTTGCCATTACTGAATTGTTTTAATGTTCTTCATTGAGGCTTCTCTGTTCATCAACCCTTTGAGCAGGAAGCAGTATAAGGTTTCTTATGATTATTACTACTAACACATTGTAAAGATCTTTTTCCTTTAATCTATTTAGTACAGGATCTATTTAGTACTGGCCTGTGTCCCAGAATACCGTCAGAGATAAGGCTATTATCCTTTCATTGAGTATTATCCTGGGAAAGTATTTATAAAATTGAACTCCATTGCACCTGCTGACCTCCTTTTTTAAATGAAGAAAGGGTGGGGATAGAGATTATGCTAACTGAATTCAGATGAAGCAGTGTATTTGGCAGCACTGACACAAAGTGCTTTAGTTAGGGCCTTTTATTTTGTGCAAATCGATTCCATCTTGGACTCTGAAAGAAATAAGTTGACAATTCAGATCAGGAAGTTGATGATCACATCGGGTGCTCCACACTTACTGGCACAGTTGCTGTTTTTCCTAAGCAATTCTATACTAGGACTCCTAGCTATTTCAGGATTAATCTAAAATGTTTCCTTGCCATTATTACGTTTTCTGCAAAATTACTATAAATGTAATCTAGTGGCATTATATTCAAGTGTGAAAGACAATGCTCTTAGAAGAGTTAAATATTTAATATTCATCCTTAGCTTTTTAAAAAATAGATCATTAAAATGCAAAAGAATAGTCAAGCCCAATTTTTAAAACTTAGTTTCTTATTGAGCCTACTTTAAGCTTAAAAAACTTGAAGAACAGTGCCATGTAACTCATAATTATCGCTTTAAAAATATTTTGCATTGTCAGATTACTCAGGTTATCTTTATATAAAATATATGCTACATGCACTCATATCAGTATGCTATTAAGGCTCACATATTTAATCACTTGGATTTTTTGCTGGTTTGGGGCAGCATTGCTAAATTAAATGTTGGTTTGTGCCTTTCTAAAAATTATTTTGATTGATAGGACAAGATATAAATGAAATAAATTTGTTCCCAATTTTGTTGTCCCATTAAATCAAGCTATATCCTTTTTTCTATATTCCCTTCCAGTTCCTTCTCCTATGCTCACATGCCTTTTCCATAGTTAACTCAGTGTTGCAGTCTGCTGTTCACATTATATTTTAAGCTTTTTCTATGGTGGTATAATATAAAAGTTCAGTATCATCATAATACAGATGCAAAGCTATTCTGTTTATTTCATAATAAAGTATTTGATCAAATTAGTAATCTGGTGGGAACAGCAGTTAATAAAATATAAACCGTTTATGTGATGAAATGCAGCAAAATTAGAACTGGAGCCTGGGTCTCCTCACTTAACAATATATTATACAGTGAACCTTCCAGTATTCTAGTTGCTGTATTTTAAAATTAGCGGATCAGGAAAATAAGACTTACGTTGGATTTAGTAGACTTTATCCATCTCAATTTTCTATACTAAGGAAATTAATGTATATACCAGCTTTATAGAGTTATAGTAAATTATATAATACATTAATGTATTATGTAAATTTTACATAGTATACATGTTACGTATATTCGGTATGTGTTGGCCATATAATCAGAAAAATTAATTTTTTTTGCATAACCAATCTACAGTTGAATTTAAGCTGTCTTAAACTCTGAAAACTAGGAATCACTTTTATCAGTTTATCAGTTTTATCAATTTGTTCTGTTTATTTACAGTTAGGAATGTTTCCTGCTTTTTAAATAAGTAATGTATTATCCAAATTTACATGAGTTAAATGCAGTAATTGTAAACATTTAGTAATGGTAGGCGTAGGAAAAACAGGCATAATATGTAATTGAGCACAGGCTTTGTAGTCAAGAGACGTGGTGTTTAATCCCAGCTCTACTCCTACTAGTTCTATGTTCTTAGGCAAGTTATTTACCTTATCTCTTAGCCTCTATTTCCTTCTCTCTAAAGTAGGCTTAATAATACCTGCCTTATAGAGTTATAGTAAATTGTATAATACATAAATGTCATCTTGCAGAGAACCTGACACTCAATAAAGGTAGTTCTAGTACTTACTATTACCTTTAATATTAATTAAAATTTGTACATGAATTACATTAATAGTAATTTTAGAGAAGAATCAATTTTAAATGGTTGAGGACTTATACATCAAATCAGATTTCTATGAATTCTATAATGTTTGGAAAGTTGCATATGTTGAATGATACAAAATTAAAATGGATAGTGAAAGAATTTTTTCTGACTCTTCTGCCAGCTAACATATAATTTTTCTTTGAACAGGTTCAGCACTATGTAGCTACAACCTAAAGCCTTCTGAATACACTACATCTTCAAAATCTTCTGTTCTCTGCCCCAAACTACCAGTTCCAGCGAGGTAAATTTTATTGCAAAGTTGTTAACTTGTGACTGTTGTTTTTGTAGGTAAATTTTAAACAATATATGTTATTCTGAGAAAATAGTCATTTGATACCTGTTGGCCAGGTCCAATACTTTTATAACAAAAATTTTAAAGTAGGAATAGAAATGACATTATATATTTAATATTTAAAAACAACAGATAGGCAGCCAACTTTTCTTGTTCTGAGGTATTTTAAATTTATTTTAGGGGCTTGCTTTTTTTGTTTTTATTTTCATGCCATAATTTTTAAGTGCACAAAACCACTGAATTGCTGTAAAATCTGCAACAAACTTAGAAACCAACTCTCACAATCTCCAAAGAGTTTTTTTAATTGATCCTAGTAATATTTATTGGTATTGTTGTAAATTTACTTTGTGGATTTAGAAGTATGCCAGTGATTATTCCCCATAGTTTCAGGTTATATTTTTTAGGTAACATTCTCTGTATTAGGTTGTTTGCTATATCTTATCCAAGGTCTTATTCAACAAACATTTATTATTAAGTACCTACTGTGTATAATGGATACAAAGATGAAACAAGAAATGTTCTTTGGAAGGATCTCAAAGTAGTTACAAGTAAAGCAATATTTAAAATTATAAATAGATTTTTTGAAAGGAAATGCATTATCAAGCATTGTAAAATATATGCTCAGAATTAGGTATATGTATATGTGTGTATGTATAGTTTTGTATATTCATTTGTGCGCACACACACACACTCTTACACACTTTGGAATGTTGGTCAAATCACAACCTTAGTGTATATTGCCAACTGTGTGTAACATGAGTCAACTTCTCCAGGAAAATGTACTTGAGGCCACTTTAATTGCATCTCAATATATTATAGGAAGCTGTTGTATAAAAAATTTTGACACTCATGTCTGCTTTCTTTTGGATTACTTATGGGTGTAACTTGGGTTTTATTAACTTGAATTTGAAATTTTCTGTTGAAAGTAGAAAAAAGATGTAGCAGTTAAATATATTTTCAGCTCATTAATCTTGTCAAGTTGCTATTGAAAATCAAAATTTAAAGCCTGTAGACATAAAACTAAAGGGACTATTTTAAAAAATAGTAAGAGAGACCTACAAATTATGGCCTTAAACCAACAGCTACGGAGATTACATTCATATAAGTTGAGAATATTGGGGAGGCTGTGGCAGTAAAGAAAAGGGGATCCTTCGAATAGTCTTAGGAGAAAATTTATCCATATAAAAATGAGAAAAGCTCTATACTCTTATCTATCCAACTGGTAAAGTCTGTTTTAAATATATATTTTGAATATAGAATCATGCTTTCAAGATTAAAACATATTATGACAGGATAGCCAGAAAGCCTGGTTATGAGAGAGAGGGCTCTGCTCCTGTGTAATGGGGGCAGAATGTCAGGTGGGGGCAGCTCAGCTCATCCTGCACATCCTTCCCTGCCTCTGACCTCTGATGCCACTTTGTTGAGGACTGCCTGTTCCTGGTTATCTTCGTTTTTTCAGTTTTTGGTACACACATGCATCTTACAATGTCCTAGGGGTATTCACTGGAAGACAAAGAATAGTATTAGGGGAGAAGATTTTAGAGATGGACAGAAATGGCTTCTAACAAGGTCATCATCTAATATCTCACTAATCTAAAATGCAGTGCTGAACCTATACCATCTGAAAACTGCATGCTGTGTTTAAAAATCCTTATGTTTTACTTATTTTAGTACATCACAGTCTAAGTATGTTATCACTTTTGTCTGAACCAAGCCAGCTGGAAAGTAAAAGAGAAGAACATTTGATAGAAAGAAGGCAAATCTTGTAAATACCAGAGCTATATAGTATTAGGTAAACAAACTGAAAGGATCTGAGAATAAGAATAAATTTGTTTTAATAAAAAGACTTGGGGCATCACCCCGTTCCACACATCATTGTATTAGATACCAAGTTTCCAAAGGTGAGTAAGACCTAGTCTCTGTCCTTAAACTCATAGTCTTGTAGGGACTATGTTTTTGGTGACTTTTTTGAATGGCAAAAGACCAGCACCAGGCAAAACTATGAGGCAGGCAAGTACCCCTCAGCATCCTTCACATCTCTTTTGGTGTCCTTCTAGGAGCATTCTACTGGGACGGAAGGACATGAACTTTGAGATAAGTCTGGGGTGAATTCCATATTACTTTCTATTTGTCACCTCTTGCAAACCTCTTAACCTCTCTGTAAACCAAGTTTCTTCATGAGTGAAATGGGAATAGTCATACTCCCCTCAAGAAATTGTAAGAGTTAAACAAGATAATACACATTAAACATCTATTACTGTGCTTGGCACTTGACTTAGGAGGTATTTCTTTGAACTTCTAGAACCTCTTCCTTTGGCCCATCTTTCTTGGGTATCCAGGGGCCTTCTACAGCTAAAAGCAGCACCTGTTTTAGAGAAAAGCAATTGTAAACTAATTTTCAGTGAAGCATTAGTGACACATAATAACCAGATGATTACCATTCCTAAAAGCTTTTGAATTTTAAAAACAAATGCCTAGAAAGAGTTGTATTTTATCCAAATTCATAATTCTCTGTTGGTGAAATGCCAACCACGGTGGCAGTATGGGGAATAGCTAGCCAGTATGCTTACAGTGCTTTTAGAAATAGCTGGAGAAAACAGCAATAGTAGAAACAGATTACATAAATTCGGTTTATTCATCATGTGTTTGGGCACCTCTGGATGACAGAAAGTTTACTAGATGCTGGGGAATTAATGATACAATAATGTATAGATGACAGATTAATAGCCAAAGGCCAGATACAGTGGCTTATGCCTGTAATCCCAGCACTTTGGGAGGCCGAGGCAGGTGGATTGCTCGAGGTCAGGAGTTCAAGACTAGCCTGGCCAACGTGGCGGAACCCCGTCTCTACCAAAAACACAAAAATTAGCTGGGCATGGTGTTGCATGCCTGTAATCCCAGCTACTCAGAAGGCTGAGACATGAGAATCACTTGAACCTGGGAGGTGCAATTGTAGTGAGGCAAGATTGTGCCTTTGCACTCCAGCCTGGGCAACAGAGCAAGACCCTGTCTCAAAAAAAAAAAAAAAAAAAAAAAGAAAGAAAGAAATTAATAGCCAAGAAAAAAATGTTATCTGTTCATATTTTCCAATGGAGGATTCAAGGATAAATTAACATTTACAAATCATCTACTACTTGCCAGCTATCCCACAGTATCTCTCATATATATTATCTCATTTAACCTTCACAAAAACCTATCAAGATATTGCCCCCAATTTGTAGGTGAGGAAAAAGAAGATGAGAGAGGTTATCGAAAGCCATACAACTAATTGTTGCAAATTGGAATTTGAATCCAGGATGTTGTAATGTATACCACAGTGAGTGTTCAACAACAACAAAGAGTATAGGAGTGAAAGAAGGCTGGGCACATTGGCTCATGCCTGTAATCCCAACACTTTGGGAGACCAAAGTGGGAGGATCACTTGAGCTTGGAAGTTCAAAACCAGCCTGAGCAACATAGCAAGACCCTCTCTCTCTATAAAACATACATGCATGCATACATACCTACATACATGCATACATACATACATACATAAACAAATAATAAAAATGTTTTAAAAAGGGTGAAAGAAGAGAAAAAAGAAACACCACTCCATGTTCAGACTCATATTTCCTGCCTTTAGTGTACTGTAGAGATATTGGCAGAATACTTTATTGTTATACTTACTTAAATAAAACTTTGGCTAGAAATCATGTGTAATTGTTTCTTTATAACCTGAGGTTCTAAAGTAATTATGTGAGATGCAGACCCCTGCCTTCTTGTGAAGGCAAATGGACAAGTGGTATTAGGCATTGTTAGTCATCATACTTTAGGGAGCTTATTAACTGTGATGATCTGAACTGAAAGGGAAATGGACAGTATGTTTGCCAAGGTAAGATACAATTTTCATATGAGGGACTAATGTAAAAACTTTAAAAGACTCATTATAAGTTCATTTTGTTCTTGACTTCAGCAAGTGAAACAGCATCACTCCCTAATGTGACTACATTGACTTACTAAAGATTCAATATTTGGTGGGCTTTGGAATGTAGAAAAACTTACTGTATATAGAATACTTTAGGCTTGTCCTAAAGTTGAGAAAAAGAATGACAAGTAAGGAAATCTAGTTTGTTTAGATTTCAAACAAGGGAATCTAGTGCTTTTTACTTTAAAGCTAAATATTTCATCTTATTTTTGAATAATGTCCCTATATATTATTTCTTCTTATGTTTGCCTTCTATTTTTATTTTTCATTACCACTAGGAACAGATTTTGACTATCAGCTAGACAATGTAGTTAATCAGCGTGTGCTAATTTTATACCTTTAAATTTAGAGCATCAGGTTGTTTTATTTTATTTTTTATTTTTTTTTAACTGACATAGACTGAATTTTGGTGTAAAGGGCTGCTGTTATTTTACTCCAGTTCTTTGAAGGATACTTATAAAAGTACTCTTTCCAATTGGCCAACTGTTAATAAACAGTGTGTAAAAATGTTTGAAAGGGTAAGTTCAGATCAGATATTACCCAGCATTTCCTCCTAAATAAAAATGAAGGATTTTCAGAGTTTTTGAGAGTTATAGTCATTCTATTTTAAAATCATCTATTCTCATCCTAAATTTGAAAAAAAAACCAAAAAACAAAAAAAAAAAACACTGAACATATTGGGCATCCTTTTCCTATATAATTTTGTGTCATCGATTTATGGGTGCCCTCTTGGATGATGATGATGATCTGAAGAGACTTGCAGAGTACTTACTCCTACTCTTTCAGCTAACCAATGGAGAAAGTAAGAGAGATGGAGTTACAGGCAGGGTGCAAGATTAGAAGAATTGGGGTTTTTATAGTTACCTGGCAGGAAAAAGAAAACAGGAAAGCAGGGCTGAGAAAAATAGTGGGTACTGAAAACAAGAAAAAGACATCAGTATCCTTAAGTGAATATATTTTATGTTCAAGGTTGGAGGCAAGTGAATTAAATAGCCACTAAATCACAGATGATGGGGTAATAAAGAAAGAGGATGGAGTTATAGATAATCATGAAACAGAGAGGATTTTAGTTTTGAAGGATAGAGAACCAGGCTTTAGTTTAAAAATATGGTTAGAAGAGTCCTTAGGCAGAGACATTAACTTGCAGAGATAGCATCTAGACAACATCAGAAAAGAAGTTTCATCGTGGCAAAGTTGTCAGTTTAAAGGTTTCTGTCACAAATCAGCTTCTATTGACTTAGAAATTTACAGTTAATCCTTTTTGAGTCTCATAATATTTTTAACTAAATCTACTTCATTTAAAGGTATTCTATAATTTAATATCTTTTTGCATCATTTGTGAAGCACTTTTTGGTTAAAAAAACAGTGATTTGAATACCTATAATTCAAGCATTTCTTAGAATGCTCTGGCTTCCTGTGCTTTCTGATACAATATCAAACCTTTGGCATTAACTTTCACTAATACCATTTTGGAGGTTTACACAAATACACAGGGATGCAAGAGGCAATTTTTAAAAACAAATATTCATGTCACATTGTTATGTCGTCAATTTTGGATATATTTACTAAAGCAAGACTAAGGCAAAGCTAGATCTTTAAAATTATATTATTTTAATGTTCCACCAAATATGACAGCATGGAAGATGTTACTTATTCTTACCACCAATGGTGCTCGTTTACTACCATTTAAAGGAAACTGATACATAGTGTGCTTATATTCTTACTGGAAAAGAAACATTGTTTTTCAAGGAAGGAAATGAGGATAGTGTTTTGCTTCAGGTCATACAAAGTTGCTTTGCTGAGATTAGAAACCTTGTAGTGCCCAACCATGTAATTTTATCCACTCATTGGACCAAAATACAGTGCAAACCAAGAATGAGAACACATTCGTATTGTTCCAGTCAAAAACGTAGTTGTAGCTGTAACTTAAAGTTCTATGAACATGTTTTCATGGATACCATTTAACAAAAAGTTACAAGAACAATTCTGGAAATGTGGGATACACGTTAGCAATGGCTAAATTTGAACATAAGGCACATATAAGTGTGTCTTTATGCATGGACATACATATGGCTGTCTTAGAATTTGAGTAAATCACAACCAAAGGCATGTTCGTAGTTCTGTGTTTAAAATCTCCCATTGATTAGTGTATACTATCCTCTCAGAAGTTGAGGATAGTGTATACTATCCTCTCAGAAGTAGAACCATGTTGTAACAAACCAGATTAATGTCACAGTTTACACATAACTGTAGTCTTTCACAAGTAAAAGCTTCAGTCCATATAAGCCTAATATAAATGACTAAGTAATTGGTTATTTTACATCTTTTTAGACACAGATAACCTTAGATTAATAGTGACTGATGAAAAGAAAATAGCCCAGAATTATGTGATCCTAACAAGTCCACTATTTCTCACTTTTTAATTATTTTCTGTTCTCATGATTATGTGTAATTTTTTATGCAGAGATATCACATTAGATATACTTTTTCACCTTCTATTATTACATTATAAGCATTTCCATATATTACTACTCATGGTTACTGTTTTAAATAGCTGCCTATTACGCTGTTTGTTGATGTCTCAGCATGACTTTGTTTATATGAGAGGTATTAAGCTTATGCTGTAAACACCTTTATTAATCTGAGATTTTGTATGCTGTTTTGTTAGAGGAAACATTCTATTAATGGTGGCACATTTCAAGTAAAAGCATGTGCTTTTTATTTTCAAATCGCTTATGGCAAAAATTCATTTTCAGTTCAATAAAGTATGTGTTTGTAAGCTTTGTCATCTGCCCCTTGACTGGTAGATGTGCAGGCTAAGGAGTTTTAAGTGTTTGGTTTTGCTTTTGGTAGTTCTGTGTGTGTATGTGTGTGTGTGTGTGTGTGTTTCTTTTCAGAAGGGGAGGGTAATGTCTTCTGTTGGAACATGCACTCCACCCTCTTTGATAAGGCTTGTGGTAAGATTTGCATCACTGCCCATGACAGTCATTCTCATAGCATTAAGCACACAGCTCTTAGCTCCCATAGTGATGCGTGGAGGGTGGAGTGTATTGCAGCCATATTCACCTTTCATTTGTGTGTTTGATGTGGCATTTATATTAAGTAGGAGTAATTTTTTTTCTGATTTTTTTTTCTTGTGTCACCAGTGCACCTATTCCATTCTTCCATCGCTGTGCTCCTGTGAACATTTCCTGCTATGCCAAGTTTGCAGAGGCCCTGATCACCTTTGTCAGTGACAATAGTGTCTTACACAGGCTGATTAGTGGAGTAATGACCAGCAAAGAAATTATATTGGGACTTTGCTTGTTATCACTAGGTAATTGTTTTTCTCATTATTAGCTATTGCATAGTATTGCAGAAGAAGACTGTTTTGTCTTTTAGCCAAAATATGAATACAACTGGGGATACTTGTAAAATGTTTAACTTCCCATAGCCAAAATCATTGTTTCAGATTATATATAGTTAAGAATATGTACATATAAGTATGTATATATATCTGAAACTCATTCCCTTTTTTTCTTTCATGGGAGAAAACTAGTGTTTTCCCAAACATTGGTTACTTAGTCCACAGCTACTTTAATATGATAGCAGGAGGCTTCTTTTAATGAATCAACTACCCTCTGTTTTTAGTTATGATTCCTAAAAGGTATATTTACTTATACAGGAGGCGACATATTCTCTTATATATTCCCATCTAAGAATATAGATTTCTGATAGATTAGTTTTGAAGTATGTAATTTCCTTTTCATTGCTACAGCGCATAGTATCAATGTATTGCTGGAAAAATTAGGAAATCTCCACCTATTAGCCACTGAGTTTTCTAGTCCATAAATAGATAATAAATCAAATAAAAATTTTATTTTCAAGATTAACACTCCCTGTATTATTCTAGAACTATATGTACCTTATCAGAATGTATAGGCCTTCTTAGTTGGGAGAAGTAAACTATGGTAGGAACCAACAGCTATTTCATTATATAAGTAAACTTAGTATTTATGCCTGTTAACAATTATAGCCATTGAGAAGATACAAGCTGTATTTCCGTCTTTCCTGTCATTAGAGAGTATTTTCTTTTTGCTTAGGTAGTACTTGACTCAATTGAAATAATGCTGTCCATATGAAAATCTATTTCTGTGATATTTGAAAGGCTCCCATCTGTTTTTGGTTCCTGTACATTTATTGCAAAAGTGAGTACCTCAATAATGTTACCTAGACACGAATCCCAACTATTTATTTGGCTTTGCAAGTGGCCCAAAGAAACTTGACTCTTAGTCTAGCTTTATATCAAAATTATTTGGTTTTTGAAATAGTTGAATACTTTAACCAAAAATTAAAAATCCAATTAAAAATAGTGCCAATAATGTTAAGCCATCAGAATTCTATTTTTTATTAGAATGATTCTCTTTTGAGGCTTAAGTATGTAATATAAACTTAAAAATCTTTGTTCATTTTTTGTGGAATGGGCCTTTAGATAATTAAGAAATTTATAAATTATTATTTCAGAAATGTAATTCCCATGCAATGGTTAAATCTTTCCTTTCTTCTTTAAGATTTTTACTCAGGATTATAGCACATGGGATTTAGCTTGGGGCAGGTAGAATAATTGGCTGTATAACTCAAACAGCTTTGCTCCTTTTTGAGGAAGGTCTCCTCACCTGGGACCCCCGACCTCAGTTGAGAAATTAGACAGAGGAAGTTCGGCCATAGTAGGCTTCAGGATGTTACTCCACAGGGTCAGACCATCCTTTGGAGTTCTAGAGGAGAAACAGCCAGAAAAGGATAAGATGCCATTTAGCTTCTGGACTGACTGTCAGAGAAGTTAAGTTGGTCCTGAAATACATAGATTACTCAATAAAGGGTAGCGCCTAATTTAACTGATCTCTGTCTATGTGTAGTAATTTTTCTTGTCACCAACATGACATGTCATTCTCTATACTTTGTGTGCTGGCATGTATGTTTGCATGTCTGATGTCTTCCCCGTGGTGAATCCACAACAGTCCTGTGCTGTTTTTGAGTCACCATGTGCATTTGCATGTATTTTTTTCTGTAGTTTATAAACCCACAGTTAGGTGACTTTGGTTTCGAGTGATGCTATTTAAGTGGTACAAGTAGCAAAGTCAAATACAACAGCAGCCAGTTTCCTTCCTTATCTAAATTGTGGTCAATAGCAACAGATTATTTCCCTGGGGAAAAAAGCAACCATCGAAAAGGTTTTCTTTATATTTACCTGTGTTTTCAAATAATATTCTATATGTTCTCTATTTATCTTCCCTGCAGTTCTATCCATGATTTTGATGGTGATAATCAGGTATATATCAAGAGTACTTGTGTGGATCTTAACAATTCTGGTCATACTCGGTTCACTTGGTAAGCTATTTATTTCTTTGTTTTCATGGTACTTAACTACTTTAGTAGAAAATAGAAATATAAAGAAGAAAATAAATTTTATTTTCACATGCTATATCTTCAAGGAAGACTGTTAATTTTTGCCTTAAAATTTCTCATAATTCTATTTGCCCCTCCCCTCATTTCATCACTGTTGGCATTTGAAGTCCAGACTTTTTTTCTATGCATATGTATATGAACATATATAGTTAAATTTTACCAGCTAAATATGAAACCTTTTAGTAATGGAATTTGTTCTCATTACATTTATAATCTTCACTGGTTTGTTTGGTCTTACTGTTCTCATCTGTTCTGTCTTTCCTGAAATTCTTTAGACTACTGTGATTATTAAAGTCAGAAATAAGATAGTATATGTTGAGTTCTCTCCTACCTCCGTTAAATTTAGCATAAACTTTGCTTCCTTTCATCCCCTACTCTCTTCTGCTCCCTCCCACTTTTTGCCCTAGTCTGAGCTTTTGTACTAGGGTTATAATTAAAGTTAAAATATTATTTTCACCTGCTGTATCTTTTTAAAAATCTTGTTTATCTTTGCCTTAAAAAGTTTTATGATTATATTTACATTTACGTTTTCCTGGACTAGTTTTAGTAGGAACTACTTGTCCTTCTTCTATAAAGTAGTACAGAACTGCTAGTAAGAAAAACTAAATCAGTTATTTGGAAATAAATTTGAAGAGGTTTTCCTGAATGTAAAGGAAAATTACCAAAAAAGTAAAATGGTAAGTTAGAAGATGATAGCAGAAGAATAAACCGTGACCTTAGGAGAAAAAAAAAAATGGAACAGAAACAATAATCAAATACAGAAATAAAAAATTTCAGAATTAAAAAGATTCCCCCAAAAGATCATAGGCAAATTTAATTATGATTCAGAATTAGACGAAACTTTAAAGCTCTAGATATTAATAGTGTTGTGATGATTAAATTAGATCACATCTATAAAGGACATAGCACAGTTCCTAACACAAATTAAAAGTTTAATAATAAATACTGTCTACCATGGCTATTGTGAATAGCTTCCTCCTTGACATCATTATTTCAATTTCATTCTATTTTTTTAACTTCAGCTTTTCTCCTATAATTCATTTCTGTTTCTAGGAAACATATTTTCTTCTTCCATTTTCTGAATATATTAAACATTCTTCCGAACAATTTTCTTGTACCTGCAAGACTTCAAAATGGAAACATTCCCCTTGCTCTGAAATGTTTTTCACCAATTTCTGGTAGTTTTGATTTGTTTCCTCCTCTTCAACAGATGGAAAATTTGTACTTGGTGTTTGCCAACAAATAGGCAATGCAATTTGTCTTTGACCTCATTCACTCTTGAGTGCAGATGTTGATGTACCTCGACTTTACTTCAGTTTTTTATCTCCCAGACATTTATCGTATCAGCCACACGCACACACATCTCTCTACTCTGAATTATCCGTTTTTTTACTGTGACCTACAAGGCCTTACAGTATGGTCTGGTCCCCAGCTACCTCGCTGCCCACATCTCTACCACTTTCTGCATTGTTCATTGCAGTAGCCACAATGGTCTTCTTTCTCTCATACTAAGGATGGTTCTACCTCAGCCTCTTTGAACTTTGCCTAGAATACTCTTTCCTTAGATAGTGTCATAGATTGCTCTCTGTCTTTGATTCCGTTGCTCAGTTATCATCTTACTAATACCAGTGAGGCCTTGCTTACCCATCATATATAAAATTGAAAAGCTTTCCCTACCCAAACACTCTATATCCTTCTTACCAGGAGATCATTTTTTCTTTAGACTTAATATATTGTATTTTTCCTTGTTTTCTTATTTTTCCCCCCCTACTGTTACATAAGTTCCATGAGCAGCAAGAATGAGGACTCAGCCTTGTTTACTGCTCTATCTCTAGCTAGAACAATAGGTGCTGTAGCATTCAAAATGTTTGCTGAATGGGTTGAAGGTAGGTATGTAAGTCAGCTCTCATATGTGGAGGTAGATTTGTCTCCGTCTTCAGTCTCGTTCTTTGAATCTCTCAACCGGTGTTGGAGATTAAAAAATGCTCATCCCTAGCACTCACCACTATCAGAGGTTTCCTCTTTGTTCCTCTCTTTGATGGGAACTGTTCTTTTATTTGCATGTATTCGTTGTACAAATATTTAATCAACTGCATTACTGTGTCAGTGCAAGACACAGAGGTATCTGTGATGAGTACAACAGAGAAGATCCTTGCCCTCTTCAAGCTTCATTGATGTTTTCTGTGATGCTTATTTCCTTCCTTCAGCCTCCTCAGCTTAAATGCTGAGGCTCTTTCTTTGTGATCAGTTCCTCTCAGGGGTGTATGTTTCTACTGGCTCACTCTTAGCTTCATAGTCAATAATAAATAAATTTGAAGGAAACTTATTTGATACACTGAAGGATTTATAAGTGCTTAATGTGGAGGATGATAATAGAGTAATGGACACTTTCTTTATGCTGGCAAAAAGTTATCGCTACGTACTTCCCAGCCAAATGGATTGTCACTGCATTAGTCCCATGATGATCAGTAGGAAGGGTCAAGAAAATTGAGAATTTATGTTACACATTTTCTTATGCTAATTACTGCATTAAAAATTGGGTCTTTTGTCTCCAGGAGGCACAGGTGTACTATGGTGGCTGTATGCAAAGCAAAGAAGGTCTCCCAAAGAAACTATTACTCCCGAGCAGCTTCAGATAGCTGAAGACAATCTTCGGGCCCTCCTCATTTATGCCATTTCAGCTACAGTGTTCACAGTGAGTTTAGGCTTTGGCGTGTCTTTTGGTTTTGTGTTTTATTTGCAGGAGATCATTAATGGAGCAGAAACTCAAATCTGGCTTTTGCATTCCTGACCCTGATCTCCAGTAGATAATATCTCTGTCTCATAGTGTATGAAACACTAAAAAGTCTCCTGAAGGATTCCCTCATGGATGAGTGCTATTTGATGAAACATTTTTTCTACCCTGACTGCTTTTTGAGAGAGGATTTTCACCTAGAATATTTACATTACCATTTGCTTACAAGAACATATTTCTTACTGTCATAAGATAATTACTTTTTAAAAATGATTCCCTTTACTGCAGAAAAATATGTTAAAAAATATATCATTCCATTTACTTGTTCACTAATTATCTTCCCATTTGTCTTTCAAACTTTTCATTTAACAATATGGCGTTATTTCAGAAATATAGGTCTGGTCAGGTACACTGGCTTATGCCTATAATGCTAGCACTTTGGGAGACTGGAGTGGGAGGATCACTTGAGCCCACAAGTTATAGACCAACCTGGGCAAGATAGTGAGACCCTGTCTCCATAAAAAATTAAAATCAGCTGAGCATGGTGGTGTGCACCTGTGGTCCCAGCTACTTGGGAGGCAGAGGTGGGAGGGTCACTTGAGCCATGATTGTCACTGCATTACAGCCTAGGCAACAGAGTGAGAACTTGTCTCCAAAATATATATGTGTATTTGTGTGTGTGTGTGTGTGTGTGTGTGTGAGAGAGATTTGCTGCTTAGGTATTAAGCAATAAAATTACCAATTAACATGTGGTTAAATAATTTATATGTATATCTTTGGTTCATCATTATCTTCTCTCTGAAAAAAGAAAAAAAAAATCAGTCTACTTCTAAGAGCAATCCCAAGCTTTTTATTGAGCATCAGAAACAAAAAATAAAGCCACCATAAAACCATTGATGCCAAAAGATATTTGGTAGTTATTGTTATACAGATATTACAACAAAATACGAATGAAATCTCATTTTAGGTACAATTTGCTGTGCCAGCTGCTGGAGATGGGATGTGGGGGTGGGAGGAAGCAAAGGGTGAATCTGACACAGATCCCACTTTTAAGGAGCTGTTGGTCTAATAAGGAAGATAGAAATAAAAACCTCATTTTTGTGGTGTATCTGTTTAAATAAAGAGTCTCATCCTGACTGACAATATGTTTTGATTCATAATGAGTGGCAAAGGGAAAAGGAAAAAAATTCTAGGATGTATTAATAAGTTGATAAATCCTTTATGTTTTGCTTTAAAGGACACTTGGTAACCGTAATATACAATTGGCAATAAATATTGCAAGAGAGATACTTACTGCTAAAATATTATTGAAATTCAAAGAATGCTACCTCCAGGTTTGGGGGTGAAGGGTTATGTTAAAAATTTCCACTATTTTTGGTTTCTGTTTTCACTACTTATAATAACTGAAACCATTCTCTCCATACAGGTGATCTTATTCCTGATAATGTTGGTTATGCGCAAACGTGTTGCTCTTACTATCGCCTTGTTCCACGTAGCTGGCAAGGTCTTCATTCACTTGCCACTGCTAGTCTTCCAACCCTTCTGGACTTTCTTTGCTCTTGTCTTGTTTTGGGCGTACTGGATCATGACACTTCTTTTTCTTGGCACTACCGGTAAGAAGATATGCTTCTTTCTCTTAGTGACAAACGTGATTTGCATTCCAGTATTTTAGAACATCAGAGAGAGGTAATTCTTCAGACATTTGTTGGTGACGGTCCAATAGCCATCAGAACTTGTAGTGGTTATGGCTCTTCAACAACCTACTCCATATTCGTCCTTTTTTTTTTTTAGACAGAGTCTTGCTCTGTCACCCAGGCTGGAGTGCAGTGGCGCTCTCGTGGCTCACTGCAACCTCCGCCTCCCAGGTTCAAGTGATTCTTCTGCCTCAGCCTCCTTAGTAGCTAGGACGACAGGCACGTGCCACCATGCCCAGCTAACTTTTGTATTTTTAGTAGAGACGGGGTTTTACCATATTGGCCAGGCTGGTCTCGAACTCCTGACTTCATGATCCACCTACCTCAGCCTCCCAAAGTGTTGGGATTACAGGCGTGAGCCACTGCTCCTGGCCTTTTTTTTTTTTTTTGATTTTTTTTCCTTTTTTTTTTTTAGACAGAGTGTTTCTCTGTCGCCCAGGCTGGAGTGCAGTGGTGCGATCTCAGCTCACTGCAACCTCTGCCTCACAGGTTTAAAAGGATTTTCCTGCCTTAGCCTCCCGAGCAGCTGGCACTACAGGTATGCACCACCACACCTGGCTAATTTTTGTATCTTTAGTAGAGACAGGGTTTCTCCATGTTGCCCAGGCTGCTCTTGAACTCCTGGTCTCATGTGATCCGTCCACCTCAGCCTCCCAAAGTGCTGGGATTACAAGCGTGAGGTAGCGCGCCCAGTCCATATTCATGATTTTTTAGAACATCCTAGCCATGTAAGTCTAGATCAGGGAAGGCCTGAAATTGCATTCTAATTCTGAAATGATCATGAATTTGAAGTAAGTTCTGGTACTGACTCAGACATTTAGATTCCTTCTAAGATGAACCAATGAATGCAGTGTCACTCAGGAGTTACCTCAAATCCCAGGTATAGCCAAGGATATACTTACTTCCTTGAGATTTTCTAGTTCGGAAATGATCTGACCCTAACTAGAGCTCCAGGTGAGGATATAGTTAATAGTTAGACACTCAGACTTTCTTACAGCCATACCGAATATCAAAGGTTAAACTTAAATGGAACTAATTGTAAAGAGTATCATAAGGATAGTAAACTTGTATGTAACTATGTAACTTATCTGTCCATTCAGCACACACACTTAGCAATTGAATATAATAATAATTTCTGTACTTTGCTAAGAAATCTATAATGATTGGATAAATAATAGGTCTTGAAAAAAACTGAAGTGTTTGAAAATTCATGGTTAAACTAAATAATTGATAATATGGATAGAACAACTTTTAAAAGCTTTATATGATGCCCCTGAGGACATCAAAATGCATAATAGTACAATTCTTAATTTCACAACTTTTCAAGTGATAGTTGTTTTTGTCCCTTTATGAAATAGCACACAGATCAGAAGGTTTGTGGCTTGGGGTAGGGGGGCCCTATTGCCTTCTATTTAATTGCCGTATTTCTGGATTTGTACTTTGTGTGCTTCTTTCCTCCCTTGATATTTTCCTAGGCAGTCCTGTTCAGAATGAGCAAGGCTTTGTGGAGTTCAAAATTTCGGGGCCTCTGCAGTACATGTGGTGGTACCATGTGGTGGGCTTGATTTGGATCAGTGAATTTATTCTGGCGTGTCAGCAGATGACAGTGGCAGGAGCTGTGGTAACATACTATTTTACTAGGTGAGAATTTGTTGTTATTAGAAAACTCAAGTTCATCTAAGGGACGGTGTCCACAGGCTGGAGGGGAAGGGAATCAGACTGGGACTGGTAGGAGTTTCATTTCTTTAACAAAATAATTAGAAATGAATATGATAAGAGTGTTATATATAGTTGATAATGCTGGGAGGTGGTCAAATGAGAGATTGTTGTTTTATTCTTTATACTTTTCTGCAATTGTCTCAAAAAATGTATCGTGATGTTACAAATTGTATTTAGCAGAAGAATAAATCTTACAGTGATGCCATACGTACTTCTGCTTTGTATAAAAGTCCATCAAAGGACAAGTCTTTTTGGTTTGTTTAGACCGGAACAAGTGTGAGTTCCCTTTGCTAACTTTAGAGCCAAATATGAAAGCTTTAGGCCTCATAGTTTTCTATTATAATTATATGCCAAGTCTAAATTGAACATCTTTTTAAATTCTGTTTTCTGATTATGTGGTTAACCCCGTAAGTATTCACTAATAAAAGCTTTCGGAGCACAGTTTTATTTAACTTGAAGTATTAGAGCATCAGAACCCCATGAAACCATAGAGCAATGACATTAATTTTATATAGCATGTGTGTAGCATTTGTAATAGTTATATATCACTTGGCCATTTTGTCATAAGACAAAATAAGAATGGTGAGCTGATTTTTTTTTTTTTTTCACTGCATTGAACTCTAAACCATACCTGTGTTTCCATCCTGATCTAGGCTTTGTTTTAATTGTCTTTGGTCTTTTTTTTAAATAGGGATAAAAGGAATTTGCCATTTACACCTATTTTGGCATCAGTAAATCGCCTTATTCGTTACCACCTTGGTACGGTGGCAAAAGGATCTTTTATTATCACATTAGTCAAAATTCCGCGAATGATCCTTATGTATATTCACAGTCAGCTCAAAGGAAAGGTAAGAGGAAAACGCATTTCTGTACTTTCTGTGGGCACATTCCAGACCTCAGTTCTGCATGTAAGAAAGCACCCAATAATGTTAAATACAAAGTTGTGTTTTCTTCAAAGTCTTTACGAGGCAAAATCTAGCCCTTCTACCCTGTCTCCCACTCATGTACTCCGTATGCTCTGGCAAAATTCATCCAATCACTAGTTACTAAAAGTTTCCTGTGCTGCTCTTCCTCTCTGTTAACTCACATATCTTCCTTTTTAGAACTTCTTCCCTATCCTTGACTGTGGGAATAACATGCATTTCAACATAGTTTAGCTCAAATTCTACCCATTTGTAGAAACTTTTCCTGATTCCTGCCATCTCCCAAACGATGCTGTCTCTTTGTTCTCCACGCTTACAACACTTAGTATCTATACTACATTCTGATTGTAACTTTTTTGTATTTAGTATTTTTTTTCTCCTACTAGATTGTAAGTACCTTGCAGGTGTTATAAACTTCGTTGTATCTTATATGCAATAGAGACTAAATAAATATTGAATTTAATTTATTAAAAATAATTCAGTCATTATGTTTTAAGGAGGAAGTAGACAAGTATGGAGGCTTTGAAGCATAAATTGTGATTTTAAAATTTTTATTTATTTTTCTAATGTTTGAAGTCTTCTATATGACAGTTTGATTCTTTGGTTTTTTGATTATTTCAATTTTTCCCCTATCCAGGAAAATGCTTGTGCACGATGTGTACTGAAATCTTGCATTTGTTGCCTTTGGTGTCTTGAAAAGTGCCTAAATTATTTAAATCAGGTAAAATATTTTAAAAATAAATCTAATATTTACTTTCAAAGATAGGTTCATTGCTCCTAAGCTAAAATAAACTTAATTGAAAGATGTTATGTTTTTCTTGTGGTATTGTACATTGTACCTTGATAAAGTATGTCTATTTCAATCATATTCTTATTTTTTAAATTAATGTATGTGCTTACCAAGGCTCATTATTATTTTAATTTTTTCCAACTATTATTTTAGGTTTAGGGGGTACATGAACAGGTTTGTTACATAGGTTATTATTTTTATTTTAATAAATAGATAAAACATCACTAGGGTTTGTTTTTCAGGGAAAGCATTTATCTCTTATCCCTTAATTCACATTCCTTCATTTTTTAAGTTTTCCCTAAGAATCTGACTACTGTGACTGTTATTATCCTTTCATTTTTTAAAATGTTGTTTGAAAACTTCAGTGTAAAGCTGTTGTGACACTTTATCCCTCTCTGCAACTAGCTACTATCATTCAAACTAGTGTGCTCTCTATGCTGATACTTTTTTTTGGGGGGGGGTCCCCAACTGCTAAACACTATGATATTGGCCTGGGAAATATTATCAAAGGAAGTAGTACTTATAAGCTTGAATGGAAGAATTGATATTTATAGGATAAAAGGGCTTAGGGGAATGGGTTAGTCCTCTATCTATCTAATATCTGAGGATCTAGGAGTCTCTGTGGGGCATTCCTTCCTTCTTTTCTTTATTTTTTAAAATTACTTTTCCATTCCCTAAAAATCAATTCTAATGTATTAATGCCCTCATCTAATAGGCTAGAGGTAAAATTGACTTTCTCACCATTTACCGCTAAGTGGTTAAAGAGTAGCTTGCACTTTCCATTCACTTCAGGCTAGTCACAGGTTGATAGTTCTATGGTCATGGTATTGAGCATGCCTGGACTTTGCTTTACTGGGCTCTGTGGTTACTATGAGAAAGTAGGTATGATGTTTCATTAGCAAAATACATTCTTATAGGTCATAATATTCCCTATGGATGTGTAAGTGTTTGGAAGCTCATTCTTAAAATAATTAGTAACGGCCATAACAACCTGAAAAATTGGGTTCTTTAAAATTGGTTTGAGGCCAAATCATCTTTATCAGAAAGTTGATGGATACACTAAAGATGATCATAATTGCATTTTTATACCCATCACTAAGTAGCTTATCCTTGGAGAGGTATGCTAAGCCCAGATCTCTAGTCTCAATCCCACTGCCGTCCCCCAGGCACCTTTTGCTTTTGCAGTTTTCCAAGTGTGCCTGGGATGACTTCCAACACCTGAGTAGTTCCTACCGAATCTTAATGATTCTGCCTGAGCGTCACTCCAAGAAGCCATCCTTCACCACACCAGCCCCTCTGCTGAGCTTCTAACACTAGGTCATACCTTAGTATTCAAATACTAACAACACTATATCGAAGTTATCTAGTAACTTTACCTTTACATTTCTAGCTCCTTTAAAGTAAAGATCTTCTTTTTCTTGGTCTCCTCAGAAGCTAGCACAGTGCCCAATATATAATAGGTGGTCTTTTTAGTGTTTTCTGAATGAACTGTTAATTATATTAGTGAATATTTGGACTCAAAAAGACTAACAGGGTGATACAAAACTATAAAAATCTTGAAAAGGAGATGTGCAGTTATACTGAAGGAAGAAAACACATCATATGATATCAAGATAGTCGATTAAAAGGTTACAAAAATCAGAGGTTTTCAGCATATCCCAAGCTAAACATTAGTCAGTGATTTAGTACCAACAACCGTGAGATGTTGATCTTTTTTGTACACATTTTGTCCATTTTGGATCAGCATTTTGTAGGCATGATGTTTGAAGTTTTAAGTGGAACATTAAAATAGTAGTAAATCAAACATGTGAGCAAAGGCTTAGGGAGAGTTATTCTGAACTCATACTTTGTAGTTCTGTTTGGGAATACAAAGTGCTACAATGTGGGGACTGATCACCCGCAGTGCTTCATGTCTCCTGGGCTCATAGGAAATGCCACATTTGAAATGTGGTCAACACAACTCTTTAAGGCTAGCATTATTTTCTCATCTATTTATATACATTTATATAAATATATATACATTTCTGAGTGGCATAAACAAACAAAAATATGGTTTATTATAGAAAATATGCAGACATCTCAAATTTTAATGATTCATTCTGTAAACTAAGACAGTCATGTTTTTAAAGAAAATCTATTGAGGTCCGGCACGGTGGCTCATGCCTGTAATCCCAACATTTTGGGAGGCCGAGGCAGGTGGATCATTTGAGGTCAGGAGTTCGAGACCATCCTGGCCAACATGGTGAAACCCCATCTCTAATGAAAATACAAAAATTAGCCAGATGTGGTGGCTCATGCCTGTAGTCCCAGCTACTCCGGAGGCTGAGGCAGGAGAATTGCTTGAACCTGGGAGGCCGAGGTTGTAGTGAGCTGAGATTGAGCCATTGCATTCCAACCTGGGCAACAGAGTGAGACTCTGTCAAGAAAAAAGAAAGAAAGAAAGCCTGTTGAAATTAAGATTTGCAACACACTTGTAATATTTATGACTTTGAAAAAGTCTAAGAATTTAGAACAAAATTGGATAAGGCATACAGTATGAGTTTGACTTTGTGCCCTGTCTTAATCTGTTCAGGCTTCTATAACAAAATACCATATGCTAGGTGGCTTCTAAACAACAGAAATTTATTTTTCATAGTTATGTAGTTTATGAGAACTATCCCCATAGTTCTAGAGGCTGGGAAATCTAAGATCAAGGCACCAGCAAAATCAGTGGCTTGTGTGGGCCTGTTTCCTGGTTCAGAGATGGCGCTTTCTTACTGTGACTTCACATGGTGGAAGAGACAAAATAGCTCTTTGGGGTAATTTTTTTAACAAGGGTACTAATCCTATTCATGAGAGTAGACCCCTCATGACCTAATCACCTCCCAAAAACCCTACCTACTAATACCATTACCTTGCTGACTATGTTTCAACATACGAACTTTGAGAAGACACAAACATTCAGACCATAGCATTCCCCTTCTCCCCTGTGCCTCAAATAAGAAAGGAATAATTGTCATTACCCTTTCATTTATTTAATTTATAAGGATCCACACAGAACTGCACATACCCTATATTCCCTTACCATTGCTCTCTAGCTTGCCCCTATTGAGTCATTATGTAAATATTTTAAACTTTAAGAGAATTTCTGGGTCCTTCACTAGAGAAAGGAAAGAAGATGTGAAAACGAAGAAGTTGTATTCTGGGACAGATGGCCACACAGGCCTGTTACATGCATGTGACCCTCTGCCCTAACATATTTTCTTTCACATGATCAGTACTTTTTAACTATATCCCGTCACACAGAAGTACAACCAGGGATTGCGTGGGCTAACAGGCATCCTTTAAAAAGATTTCCGGATGGTGGTCATCCTTCATCTTGCTCCTGGGGGTTGAATATCCTCAAGCTTGTGTCCTTCCCAAGCAAATGTTGAGCGTGGGCTAAATGTTAATCAGTGATGTCTGTCTGTGGGCAGTTTAACTCCAGATAAGGAAGGCTGTCTGAGAAGAAGGTGGGTGGACTCTAAAAATCTTAACCAAGAAGTCTGAAGAAAGTTCAGGGAATAGTTTTCAGGGAAAGCCACAGAGGACTCCGAAATTCCTAAGAACCTTAAGCATGAATTCTTTTAGACTAGGAAGCATAGAAAAGGAGGGAATTTTCATTGGCCTGCTATGATTTGCAGCACATTTTTCTTCCTGAAGAAGTCATCTTGACCTTTGTGTATCCAGTTCATCTTCCTACCTTGGGAGGGAGTGAAAGAGCTTGCAAAATATCCACCTACTTTTTTTCAGTTGGGTTGAATACAAAGGAATTGCATAGATCCGTAGAAATATTGCCAAAAAGGCTAAATTTCTGTGACTATGTTCGACCCGCACAGAAATTTCTCAGAGGGGTGGAGAAAATAAATTATTGCTGCTTATTTGTCTACAAACAGACTTCTGCCCTAAACGCAGATGGAATGGCGCAGGGTGGGGTGATAAGAAAGAAGCAAAAGAGGAATAATAATAATTCTCCAATGAAATGAAGCTTCTAAAAACTAATGAGGGAAACAAAAAAGTTTTTATAGTTTAGTTTGGAAGTGTTGGGCATTCTCCTCATGTCAGCTGGTCTGATGATAACAGAGGAGAGAGACTGGAGACATGTGGGTCCTCTCTTGCTTCTGTCTCAAGGAAATTCATGGTGAACTGGAAAGGGTAGAACACTATAGTTGAGTGAGTTGTTCTCAGTGAGGGTGGGAGTGACCATAAGCTAGTACCTAGTTGATTTAAATGGGTTGTCCAATTTCCTTGATTGTAGATATTATGAAGCTATTTAGCATCAGGATGCATCTCATAATCAATATGTATATTTGATATGGTAGGATATTTTCTCCTAAAAACTTGTTATGAATAACTGGCTCATTAGTCTCTTGATTATATCTTAGAATGTGGGAAATAAGGTATTTCTCTTCAAGGGAGTTATATTCCAGATCACTGAAGACCTTTGTCAATTAAATTGTTGAACTGAAGAATTACAGTGAGAGATGCTGAAAGATTGAAAGTTGTGGAGGAAGTTACTAAAACTTGAAATGAGTAAATGTGGTTTGTATTTCCAATAAGAGGGTGGGTTCCACATACAGTAGATGAGGGAGTAGATGAGATTGATATTAATCCTTGGCAGTACTCTAGAAGAGGAGGTCAGCAAGCTTTCTCTGTGAGGGACCAGAGAGTAAATATTTTTGGCTTTATGGGCCATACAGGATCTTTCATGACTGCACAGTTCCATCGCTGTAGCATGAAAGCAGCCATAGACAATAGGTAAACAATGAGCACAGCTGTGTGCCAGTAAAACTTTATTTACAAAAGTAATTGGCAAGCCAGATATGGCCTACAGGTGATAGGTTCACTACCTCTGCTATAGAATAAATTGTTAACTGGGTGTTTCTGTGAGTACTTAGGGAACTGGTGCGAACTGGGAACCAATCTGTGTTCTTTCAGAATAGAACTGGCTGGGGCAGTTCTTCTTCATCGTTTTTCAGCAAGGTTAATGTTACACAAGATCAAAAGTATAGTTTATTTTTACTTCTTTGAGTCACTTGGCAGAGTATTTCAAAAGAAGCTTTTGTAGAAGATGGAAAAAAAACACTTGGACCACTGCAGTTAGGTAGTTAACTCTGGTGCCTGCTGTCTTTTATCTGATAAGAAGCACTGACAGATGACAATATAAGGGAGCAACAAGCAGGTAGATGCTAACGAACACTTAGTATGATTTCTTTAAGATGTTCTGTATTTTAGTTTTTGAGATAAAAAGACTTATAGTAATATATTCTGATAATAAACTTCCGCAATTTGTATGATGGAATTCTATATACCAAAATCATACTGTACTTCTGTTTTGTTTTTCTTTTTTTGGAGATGGAGTCTTACTCTGTCGCCCAGACTGGAGTGCAGTGGTGCAATCTCGGCTAACTGCAACCTCCACCTCCCTGGTTCAAGCAATTCCCCTGCCTCAGCCTCCCAAGCAGTTGGGATTACAGGCGCACGCCACCACGCCTGGCTAACTTTTTTGTATTTTTAGTATAGACGGGGTTTCACCATGTTGGCCAGACTGGTCTCGAACTCCTGACCTCAGGTAATCCACCCGCCTCAACCTCCCAAAATGCTGGGATTACAAGCATGAGCCACCATGCCCATCCTCATAATGTGTTTCTTAAAGAGCACCATAATTTATTTCCTACTGCCCCATTACTGAAAAAAGCTTAGGAACCACAGGTAGTGACCTGCTCAGTAAAATACTCTCTTTGGCTCTGAAATGTTCTGCATTTTTAATCAATGAATTTAATCATATAATGGCAAGTTAAATTTTTGATAATTCAAACCTCATCTTCATTACAGACTCCTAATAATTAACAAGCTTATAATTAGAATATTCATAAATTGTAGACCATCTCTCCTGGGCTCAGTGGTTAAAGCTTTATAGACAACACAGTATAAAGCAAGCCCTTTATCTCCCACGGTTTTCCAGCAATCCCAACATTTGGGACCCAGTGACAATTTAAGTCAGCACTAAACCCAAAATTCCTCAGGACCAAAAGTTTTAGTCACAAAGTTCATATACTTTTCCTTCCTAAGACTCAAACATATTTGATGTTATAATACTTTTTCACACTTCCCAGAAAACATCAATGCTGTTCTAGAATGTAACATAAAAAAGAATGGAAAAAAAAAATCAGTCTGTGACTAGTAGGTCAAAGAGCACATGGGGCAGCAGAAGCAGTTATAATTGAATGAAAGCGTATCAGCTAGAACTCAGTATTTTAAGGAACAGAAAGCTCAGCTCAATCTGACCTGAACAAGGGAGAGGGAAGGGAATGTGGAGCAGGGAAGAGCTGGGATTCTTAGCAATTTATTAGCTTCTATAACAGAAAAGTTCAGAAATCTGGCAAGTTCCCAATGTCCCAACTGTCACCAAGTTGAAGTACCTGATTCTCCCTGCTCTGACTTCATGGTGTTGGCCTCACCCTCAGTTTTACACTGTGACCTTCAGCAGCTCTTCTCATTATGTTAGCCAAACAGCTATAGCCATTCATACCCTCACACCTTCAAGAGAACCTATGGAAGAGAAAGAAAGCCTCTTTTTCCCAGAAGCCCCAGGGAACATCACTTTTGCTTTCATTGGCTCTGATTGGTTTATTTACCAATTCTGAACCAATCATTGTGGCCAGTAGGTATAGTATGCTAATTGGCTTATGTCAGTCAAGACCCATCCCCAGAGCCTGAGGTAGTGACAGTCTCACTGGGACTGAAACAGGGAATGGGGTAAGGCTGTTTTCTCAAAAAAGATTTAGGATTCTGCTCCCAGGAGGAGGAGGGGTATAAAATGCCAGCCATCAAAGAGCTATGTACTACAAAAGCTATGAGAAGTGAGAGCATAGAAGAAAGCCATCAAGGAGGAGATAGTAGATAGTCCAGATAGAACACCACAGCAATCCGATGCCCGCACCTACCTCTTCAGCTTTTAAAGCATCACCTAAATGATTACAGTGCACTGCTGATGTTCACAGTCACGACCCTGAGTCATCTAGGAAAGATTAAATTATGTTTGATTTACTAAGACAGGGAAGAAGTTAATGGATGTTAGAAAGGTTTGTGTATGTTTTAATAAATAACAGTGTTTTTAAAGGACCAAAACTAAGCCAAATGGAAAGTTATTTTTACCATATGAGGCTTTAAATCTTATATTTTCTTGTAGTTAGTCTCAATCTTACCTCATTAAAGGGTGCCATGTGTTTGACTGAAATATTTTTAAAAGCTATGTTTTAGCTATGCTCAGTTTATATCTTAACAAAGGGAGTTTCAGTTGTTGATGAAAATGTTGTTTTTGCTTTTGTCCAGAATGCATACACAGCCACAGCTATCAACAGCACCAACTTCTGCACCTCAGCAAAGGATGCCTTTGTCATTCTGGTGGAGAATGCTTTGCGAGTGGCTACCATCAACACAGTGGGAGATTTTATGTTATTCCTAGGCAAGGTAAGACCAAATATTTTTTTCTGCAACATACAGTAAAGTTTTGCATATATATATTTGCTCTTTTATTTTAAAAATATCCAGGCCACCAAAAAACTAAAAGTAAGTACTTAGAAAGTACTTAGGAAGCCCTTACTATGTGTCCAGCATTGTTATAAGTACTTGACATATATTGTGTTCATTTAATCCCCACAATAAATTTTTAAGGTAAGTTCCGTTATTATCCTCATTTTACAGAGAGGGAAACTGAGGCATGGAGAGGCTAAGTCATGTGCCTATGTTTCTCCTTCTTTGTTGTTGTTTGTTTGTTTGTTTGTTTTTTTGAGACGGAGTTTCACTCTGTCGCCCAGGCTGGAGTACAATGGTGCTGTCTTGGCTCACTGCAACCTCTGCCTCCTGGGTTCAGGCAATTCTCCTGCTTTAGCCTCCCGAGTAGCTGGGATTACAGGCGTGTGCCACCACACCCGGCTAATTTTTGTATTATTGGTAGAGAGAGGGTTTCCACATGTCGGCCAGGCTGGTCTTGAACTCCTGACCTCAGGTGATCCGCCTTGGCCTCCCAAAGTGCTGGGATTACAGGCGTGAGCCACTGCACCCGGCCCTCTTTTTGTGTTTTGAACTGTAAAGAATTAGGAAAAAGTCTTCCTCCTGGTTAGTGGTACTGCAACTGGAGCCTGACTGCCTCGATTTCAGTTCTGACACTATCACTGGTAGTTGTGTGACCTGGGCAGGTTAGATAATCACTCTGTGCCTCAGTTTGCTCATCTGTAAAATTGGAATATAATAGTGCCAAACTCCTAGGGTCATGAGGTTAATGCATTGTTAATACATGTAGGGTATCTAGGAGAGTGCTTGACACATTTTAAGTTCTCAGTGAATGTTAGGTGTTGTCATTATTACTATAGTATTATGTATAAGCCCCTTTAAAATAGAGCTGTTAGAGAATAAGAGTTATAGTTTCCTTAGAAATGTCGAACAAGAGGCAAGTTATTCTATACTATTAAAATACTGCAAAATATTCAATAACATTATAATTAGATTTCATTGTATCTGAGTTTTAAACCACAAAATACACAGAAAATTTTTGAATTGAGGAAAGAGAAAGACTTATACTACCACCACTATAACTAAATAACTTATCATTTCTATATAATTCTTCCCATGTTTTTTCATCGGCTTGTATTTCTGTAGTATAAAAATCATAGCATACGTACCTGTTGGTCCCCCCCATTTATCTTTACATTACACCATATACATTTTCCATCTTGTTTTGATAATCTTCACAATTGTTATTATTACCAGGTAAATATCCACCAAATACTATTTGTAAACATTTTCTTACTATTGAACCCTTAGGTTGCTCTAGCCAACTGTATTCTTTAAGTGTTTTTGTAAAGAAAATGTGTTTGGCATGGAGAAGTATAGCATTGTGTGCGATGAAGTGGGTCAGTTCTCTACAGCTGATTCAGAAAGGCTTCACCATCTTTTATTTTTGTTTACATATTTATAATTTATCCCTACAGCTAAGAAAGATTAGAAGCAACTTAGGATAAAAGTATATATATGTATACCACACACACACACTACACACACTGCTTTTGTTTTTTTTTCCCAGACAGAGTTTCACTCTTATTGTGCAGGCTGGAGTGCAGTGGCACAATCTTGGCTCACCACAACCTCCACGTCCTGGGTTCAAGTGATTCTCCTGCTTCAACCTCCCGAGTAGCTGGGACTACAAGCATGCCCCACCATGCCCATCTAATTTTTGTATTTTTAGTAGAGACGGGGTTTCTCCATGTTGGTCAGGCTGGTATCGAACTCCCGACCTCAGGTGATCTGCCCACCTCGGCCTCCCGAAGTGCTGGGATTACAGGCATGAGCCATTGCCCACAACGCTTTTTACAAAGGGAAATAAGAAACCATTTAGAGGAGTAAGGGAGATACTAAGTGGTAATATTAAATGATGATGATTTTAGTAAACTCTGATTAAGACACTTTGGGTACCAGGCCCTGAGTGAAGGGCTTTTGTTAAGTGTTACATTTGGTCCTCCCCTGTAAGGTGAGCTACTAGTATTATCTTTGGTTTCCTCTACTCTAAAATAAAGTTTAGAGAACAAATTAAATTGGCCAGATTTAGAGAACTAGAATGTGGCATTCAAGCTCAGGTCTGTCTGACTTCTAAGTTACTAATCACTGTGTGCTATAATTGCCTCAGCTGACATTAAATTTGTCCTTGGGCCTTTTAAAAATTTTTTTTAAAAGCCTTTTGACTCAGTAATTCTGAGTCAATGATAAGCCACTTCTGGTAACACTAACTGCAAACAAATATGGCATTATTTATATAGTGACCAATGGTAAACAGTCTGATGCCTTACAATAGAGAAATGGTTGGGAATAATAGTCGGTAGACTGTTACTCACCTACTAAGCCCTGTTTTTTATTAAGAGTTTACAGTATGAAGAAATGCATATAATGTAATAAATGAAAAAGCTGAGTAAAAACTACTAGGCTTTAGTAGTGTTTAACAATGTTTATAAGAAAAAGAATGGAAATGAATATCTCAAGATGTTAACAATGATTGCTTTTGGATATTGAAAATATAGATAATTCCAAACCCCTACCCCACTTTATTGTAGTAAGATAATATTCTCTATATTGAGTACGCATTATTTTTTTAATGAAAAATAAAAAGATGGATTGGGCGTGGTGGCTCATGCCTATAATCCCAGCACTTTGGGAGGCCGAGGTGGGCAGATCACCTGAGGTCAGGAGTTCGAGACCAGCCTGGCTAACGATGTGGTGAAACCCCATCTCTACTAAAAAAATACGAAAAAAAAAATTAGCTGGGCGTGGTGGCGAGCACCCGTAGTCCCAGCTACTTGGGAGGCTGAGGCGGAGAATCATTTGAACCCAGGAGGCAGAGGTTGCAGTGAGCCGAGATCGCGCCACTACACTCCAGCCTGGGCGATAGAGCAAGACTCTGTCTAAAAAAAAGAGAGAAAAAAATATAAAGATGATAAAACACAATGTTCTAAAGTTGACTTTTTTTAGCAGCCTAGTGACCTGTCAAAACTTTTTCTTTGTTTATCGTATCCTTTTATTCATATCTTTATGGAGTGCCTACTAGTAATGTGGAAAGGACTATTATAGGTCCTGGTTATATACTGATCAATACATAGAATTTAAAATCTAGTAGAGGGCCAGGCACAGTGGCTCACGCCTATAATCCCAACACTATGGGAGGCTAAGGTGGGTGGATCACTTGAGGTCAGGAGTTCGAGACCAACCTGGCCAACATGGAGAAACCCTGTCCCCACTAAAAGTATAAAAATTAGCCAGGCGTAGTGGTACATGCCTGTAATCCCAGCTACTCAGAAGCTGAGGCATAAGAATTAGTTGAATCTGAGAGGCAGAGGTTACAGTGAGCTGAGATAGTGCAACTACACTGCAGCCTGGATGACAAAGTGAGACTCTGTCTCAAAAACAAAAACAAAAGAAACCTATTAGAAAAGGCAGTTTTGTATCCCTTTTTTCACTTGGTATTACATTATGAGCATTTCTTGTTTTCTTAAAACATTTCTAACTCTGGTTATACAACTGTTGTATCATTTATTTAATCCTCAGGTTTTCTGTGTTTTACAGTTGAGCTATGCTCAATTTTTTACTAACCTAAAATTTGTATTTGTGTATTTGCCCACATCAATCCTTATTTCCTGAAGACAGAATCCTAGAATTAGAATTAATTAGGATTCTTGATGTGCATTGCCAAATTGTTTTCCAGAAAGGTGTATTTTTAATAATGTAATATTTATAGTATTTCAAATGACCTCAAAAACCATAAAAGATAAATACATTTTTTAATTGAGAAATTCAAAAAAGAGAAAAATAAGAGGAAGAGAAATCTTCTGGGTTTCTAACATTTTAATATAAATGTTCTTTAGTTTTTTTTCCTAAAAATATAGTTCTGATCGTAGAATACAGTAAATCTTTCGAAAAGAGTTTTTCATTACAATTAAATGGCTGCTAGCATGCAGAATTTGTTTCTAATCAGGGAGTTCAACTAATAGAGCATAATAAACATTATAAAACATGATGCCAGAAACGAATTGTTTATGTACATAGCAACTTGACTGAATCTTGAGGAAACTATGCTGAGCGAAAAAATCTAATCCCAGAAGATTAATTCCATTTATATAATAGAAATGACAACAGGGCTGGGCTCTGTGGCTCACACCTGTAATCCCAGCACTTTGGGAGGCCAAGGAGGGTGGATCGCTTGAGCCCAGGAGTCCAAGACCAGCTTGAAAAATGTGGCGAAACCCCATTTCTACAAAAAAATACAAAAATTTTCCTGGCATGGTGCTGTGCACCTGTATTCCTAGCTACTCAGGAGGCTGAGGCGGGAGGATCGCTTCAGCCCGATGGCAGAGGCTGCATTGAGCTGTGATCACACCACTGCATTCCAGTCTGGGTGACAGAGCAAGACTCTTTCTCAAAAAGAAAAAAAGTGAAATGACAGCAGTGTGGAAATGGAGAATGGATTTGTGGTTAGAGATCGGGTTGAGGAGGAGGGGAAATACCCATAAAATAGCAAAGTGCAGGGTTCCAGTGATGATGGATATATTCTGCATCTTCACAATATCAATGTCAATAACATGGTTGTGACATCGATATCACGCTATAGTTTTACAAGATGTTATCATTGAAGGGAACTGGGTAAAGGGTACATGGAACCATTCTACTATTTCTTACAACTGCATGTGAATTCACAATTACTTCGAAATTTTAAATTCAATTTTAAAACTCTGAATATAAAAAGACATCATTATGGGTTCCATTTCTATGGTACCCTGATAGTTTTTATGGAATATGAATTATATTTGTAAGGGACCTTAGCTCTTCTAGTTTAGTGACTTGTAACATATGGTCACTGGCCAATAGGGTCCAAAAGGTAAGAATAGAGATTTATAATCCAATTTAAATATTTTTAAGTATTGATATTTATCCTAATAAAGCTATCCCAAAACCCTTCAATCTCAAATTTCTTTGCTTCTGTGTGAAATTATTTTACCTCCATTTGGTAATGTCTTTTCTCACACTAATTATATCTTCTAGTTGACAATTTATTTGACTTGGGTTAATAAAAATTGAAATATGAATTATTACTTATAAATGCTATTTTATTGGTAAACAATATCTTTCAAAATATAGGTTCTCTAGAGAAAGAGCATCATAAATGTTGCATTTAGGATGGCAAAAAAAAGAAAGGAAGGGAGGGAGGGAGAAACATTGCCAGGCATTGCATTAAATACTTTTAGAATGTTTATTTTAACAATCGTGGGATGTATGTATTATTATGTCTCTTTTAAAGATGGAAAAACAAGCTCAGAATGGTTAAATGAGCTTGCTTAGAGTTACAAAACTAAGTACTAATTCTGTGATTCAAATCTACATCTTTCTAACTCCAAAACTAGTATCATTTCCTTCCTGCTTCCCACATCCTACCCAAAGCATGAATCTCATCTACTGTATTCCAATAATTTATCCTCTAGAACAGGAATGTCTATTTTTTTTTTTCTTTTTTTGAGATGGAATCTTGTTGTGTGCCCAAGCTGGTCTTGAAGTTCTGGGCTCGAGCAATCCTCCTGCCTCAGCCTCCCGAGTAGCTGGGACGGTAGGTGTGAGCCATCATGCCCAGCTAGGATTTCTTAACTTCTAAAGTCATGCGCCCTATTAAGAAAAAAGTTTGATCACAGTTGTTTAATATATTTACATTTATTTATCAATTTTATATATATATATATATAGCTGTTACTAATATATGCCTTATAAAGCATACTAAAGAAGACATTCTAAATGTGTGAGAAATATAATAGAAGTCCCAGGTGATCCTGTTAAATACTCCCTGGGATGTGGGTACTCCACCATGGAGATCACTGATATAGTCCAGTACTTCTTGAGACATAGGCTTTATCAGCACCTGGGATACTTTTTCAATGCAAACTACTGGGCTTTATTGTGGATCCAACCAACCAGACTCTGGGAGTAGGGCCCAGGAATCTGCATTCTTAGCCTTTCTACAGTTTGAGAACCATTACTGTATCTGCTTGAATAAGTACATAACACTCTTTCATTATATTTGGGAATAACTACTACTTTTTTTGGCTAAACATCACTAATTGTTGAAGTTATCTCTTGTATGAGAATATCTAACCTTCCATCTCACCAACTTTTTGTCTCAACATCTAGTTTGTTTGAGCCACACCTACTTTCTATAACTAACTTTACCATTTCAATGGGGTTTAACTTTTAATGGCATGCTGAGAGCATGAAGAACCTCAGCCCTCCAATAGGGTGAATGTGCAAGATTTGGAGAGTATAGGAAATAACTCACTCTAAAATTGAAACCAGGAGAGTGGAAGAAAATGGAAGTAATGACCAGGCGCAGTGGCTCACACCTGTAATCCCAGGAGTTTGGGAGGCCGAGGCGGGCGGATCACCTGAGGTCAGGAGATAGCGACCAGCCTGGCCAACATGGTGAAACCCTGTCTCTACTAAAAAATACAAAAATAAATTGGCCAGGCGTGGTGGCGAGCACCTGTAGTTCCAGCTACTTGGGAGGCTGAGGCGAAGAATTGCTTGAACCCAGGAGGTGGAGGTTGCAGTGAGCCAAGATCATGCCACTGCTTTCTAGCCTAGGTGACAGAGCAAGACTCTGTCTCAAAAAAAAGAAAAGAAAAGAAAATGGAAGTAATTAACCATCTATGGAAATAACCCCAGAAAATAAGTCACTATAAGAGAAGATTCATAAGTGAGTTGCTACAAAAATGGTGGGGGAGTCTTCCAAAGCGTGGGCAGACCCAGATTTGCTCACTAAAAGCATATGAGAGAGGGATCAATTTATAGCTTAACCAATGTATCATCTAATGCATTTTAACTCCAAGTTAAGATAATGGTGAATGAGAAATGCCTTGATGTTGATAAATACTGGAGAAAATGCCAAAGAAGAATTCTCACTCTGCCTCTTCTTAATGCTAGGCAGGAACAGGCTGCCATGATTCTAGAGGTCTCTTTTTTCCCTTTACTTAAAGCCTTGTACAAGACAAAATAATGAACTGGGAAAGAGTGTGTCTAGAATTCAGTAGAATCTATTACTGCTGTGTACCAATATCCAAATATTTCTGATTTTTTATCTGGAAAGAGCACTGGAGTTGACATCATGAGACCATTATTTGAGTAGGATCTATTCTTTTTTCTACTCTTATGACCTTGACCTTGGGTCTACTCTTTTTTTTTCTACTCAGGTTGGCTAGCATCTCTAAGTATGTTTCCCAGTCTATAAAATGGGATGATAATATTTGCCATAAACCATTTATAGGGTTATTGAAAAGCTGTAATAAAATGTATTTTAAAAACCACAAAAAATTTAAAATGCTGCATGTGAAATGGTGAAGCATCAGAGTGGGTGGTTCTTGACAATAACTAAATTGGCTATTTCTTTTATTCTTTTAGCATGGATGTTTTTGGCAACCTCTTTCTTCACAGAGAGTCCAAATATAAACTTCATGGCAAATTATATTAAATTTACCACATATTCTATGTGAAATAAAATATGAAACACAGAAAAAGTTCTAAGACTATAGATGTTTGTTGCAGCATTATTTATATCTGAAAACAATGTAAATCTCCACAGTAAGAGAGTGGTTAAATGTATTTTAAATCACTCATAAAATGAAATTATGTAGCTGAGTAAATATTTATGAAGCATTTATAATGATACTGCTATAAATATTAATGAAAAGCTTACAGTGATTTGTTTATATAATACTATTTCATATATGTGAAAATGCTTAGAAAAAAATACATACCATTACACTGAAATATCACTTTTTTCTGAGTGCTAAGAGTGTGTAAATTTTTTCTAAAATATGTGTACATTTATCTTAAAAATTGCCACAGATTCTAAATAGGTTAAGTTTTAGGGTGCAGCATAGCATTTGGAAAACTTAACTATCTTTAAACCAGAATCATTTAACGTATGATTTAAAAATGTATATTATATGATAAGCATACATGGCTCTGTGTGTATACGGGAATATATGGATTATATTTCCTCATTTGAGATGGAATGGCCTCATGCAACCATCACTTATAATAGTAAAGAGAATTTGAAGTCTGCAAATGATGAGAAAAGAGTGGCTTTATTCACTAGGATATTAGATGTGATCTTTGTTCTCTCTGTTTCAGGTGCTGATAGTCTGCAGCACAGGTTTAGCTGGGATTATGCTGCTCAACTACCAGCAGGACTACACAGTATGGGTGCTGCCTCTGATCATCGTCTGCCTCTTTGCTTTCCTAGTCGCTCATTGCTTCCTGTCTATTTACGAAATGGTAGTGGATGTATTATTCTTGTGTTTTGCCATTGATACAAAATACAATGATGGGAGCCCTGGCAGAGAATTCTATATGGATAAAGTGCTGATGGTAAGTACTTCAAATGCCCTTTCCTATTTTAGGGATAAAAATACCAATAAAAATATTTTGTAAAACATTATCTATGTTTAATTCACACTATATGCAATTGAGTAATTTAGAATTAACCCCATAGCACTGACTCATGAATGAGGTTAATCTTGGGTAAGTCAGGGAGGAAGGCTTCTTGGCATGGACAAGATCATTTCAGATCCACCTAGGTAGAGTTGTACTCGTTAATAGTCCTAAGTTCACCCTATTCCTGCTGCCCCTCTCTCTGTAGTTAGATAGATTTGAATTGACTTTTTAAACCAGCTTCTAGCCTTTTCCTGAAATGGGGCTCAAAGGCAAAATAACCTGTTTCCCAGGTCCTAGTGCCTACCTGTCTTTCTCTGTCCACCATTGCCCCAAACATTACTGCTGTCAACCCTAATTAAAACTCATCATCTTAAATATGGTAGGCCAAATTGAAAGCATTTTGTGATGAATACGGATAACAGACCCATGACTGATAGAGTGTATAGTTATGTATTAGTCAAGATCTGAACCTTTACACAGATATTATATGCAGATTTTTCATATTAGAACCCAATTAAATTTCTTTAAAAATTTGAAAACCTTATTAAATGGCTTAAGTACCATTATAATCAGTGTTAAATGTTACCAAGTAAAGATGCTTTCTAAATAATAGTAGTTTGCTATTAAGCTATGAAATATTTCTATCTCAAAATGGGTAATATTGAATACTAAGCATTATACATTGAAATAACAAGTCATTTTCCAGGAGCATATTTTATCCAGTTAAATCTGAAATAAGTGTATTAATAAATAGGCTAGATTTTTTATTTTATTTATTTATTTATTTATTTATTTTGAGACAGAGTCTTGCTTTGTCAACCAGACTGGAGTACAGTGGCATGGTCTTGGCTCTGCAGCCTCTACCTCCCAGGTTCAAGCAGTTCTGCCTCAACCTCCCAAGTAGCTGGGATTACATGCGTGTGCCACCACTCCTGGCTAATTTTTGCATTTTTAGTAGTGATAGGGTTTTACCATGTTGGCCAGGCTGGTCTTGAACTCCTGTCCTCAGGTGATCTGCCTGCCTTGGCCTTCCAAAATGCTGGGATTACAGGTGTGAGCCACCACACCCAGCCTAGATTTTTTTTTTTTTTTTTTTTCAATAGCAAGAATGCCAAATGATTTAGCTGACCTGTTTGGCATTGATTTTCTTTTTCTGACAACATCAGCTAAATTGTGGACATTTTCTTAATGTCTAAACTAATTCTAACTGGTTATTTTCTGAATGGAATTTGATCATGATTATTGCATCTCTTTTGTGATTAAAGCATTTAGAAGAGTGTTACTGTTTTTTAAGTCACTGATCAAAAGCAGAGTAAAAAATACTGTTTTCCACCCTTCAGTTTTCTTTGTAGGAATGGTGAGGATATTTAATGAAGAAGTGCCCCGTAAATGTTGACAGAATAGAAATGTTCCCTTTGGGGCACATTCCCATTTCGACTACTACTAACCATAGGTTCTGGTTGATACACCCTGTCTTCCTACTTTATGAAGTAATGTCATGGTCAGATTGACACTTTTTTAAAAGATTGTTTGTTTGTGGTTTGGTTAAGAAAAAAAGCATTATGTGCTTAGCAATATCAGTGTGTTCTTTTACCTTCTGTGGTTATTTAAAAGTGGAGGCTTATGGAGTAACATGTTCTTCTTGTTTCATTTAACCTTGATATAGAAAAAAACAACAATAACAAATAAAATGATATTCTGAGTATGAGAAAATAGCCTCTTAAAAATGTTAGGTGTTTTCTCTTCCACATAGAACTAACATTATCTCTTGGAGCCTTAGTAAGATTGTCACAATGAATGGATGGAAAGATGTTTTAAATCAGCGGATTGCAGGGTCCATTCCTGCAAATTTAGCAGCTCTCATGTGTGATACTAAACATTCTTTATTGCTATGTTTTTAGGCCATCCATTTACCAAGATTGAGTCAAAAATGTAAATGTTCTTTAGAATTCATCTACTAACAAATCTGAAAGGAACCAAGAATTTACGCAATGTGGTCCATATTTTGCAGGAGTTTGTGGAAAACAGTAGGAAAGCAATGAAAGAAGCTGGTAAGGGAGGCGTCGCTGATGCCAGAGAGCTAAAGCCGATGGTAGGTGGAGATGAGGAGGTGGCCGCCCTCCAAGAATTTCACTTTCACTTCCTCTCTCTCTCTGTCTTCACTGACTGCACTTCTTCAGGAGAAGCTTTTGTTATCTGTATCACGCAGGACGTGCTGCTCTTTCTGTTTGTGTGCTTACCCATCACTTGGATGGCAGAATTCTTGTCACAACTGAGACCACCTTCTGTAAAAGTAAGCTGAAAGGAACAGCATCCTCGTCAGTGCTCGGTGGGGGTTGGGGGATGATAGTTTTGTCCCTAAGGTAAAACTGCTATTGCTCTTTCTGTTTCAACTGTCAGTGTTTGGCTTTCATCAGATTGAACATTTTGGTGTACACTTGAACTGACGGTTTGACTTTTATCATTTTGGAAGGTGATCATAGCAATTCCTTTCAACTTGCTAAAATTCATACTCCACCATTTTAAAATATTGTTCTGTTTACATCGCTGTCCTTTTCCCTTGGCTGACATTTTCTTCTGTTGCCTAGTTGTACTTTCTTTGTTTCTTAAGCTTTATTTTTCAGTAGCAACAAGGCTGTTTTCATCAATACCCACATTCCCACTCAGTAAGACAATCTAGTCTTCTCCCAGTTTAATTGTGAGATGGATAAATTATTTCTGGTCATTGATATTATATATATGTATATATATACAAATATATCTCTGTACTCCACTTTTATTTGAAAAAAGCAGCTTAATGAGTGTAAGAGAACCTTGAGCCGCTTTTCACATGGGTATTGTCACATATATTTCACATGGGTATAGCGTAGCAATAGATGCCTCTGTCATATATTGGTCTAATTACTTCCTAATTTAAATGCGTATTTTTTTAATAGCATGTTTATTTTCAAATATTATATAATTGTCTGCATCCTTAAATAATTAATTTTAAACAATGTGCCCTCTAACTGCATATAATGTTCAAAAGTGTGAGGTAAGGACTTTCCTTTCTCTCTTCCTTACACTTTAATAAATGATTTGATTTATAGCAAACTTGTCCAACCTGCTGCCTGTGGGCCACATATGGCTTAGGAAAGCTTTCAGCACAAATTCGTACACTTTATTACAAAATGAGATTTTTTTGCGTTTCTTTTTTTTAACCCCATCAGCTATCCTTAATGTATTTTATATGCAGCCCAAGACAATTCGTCTTCCAGGGTGACCTGGGGAAGCCAAAAGATTGGATACTGCTGATTTATAGGTTTTCAACTTTAAAATATATGGTATAAAATAAGTTCATTTAAGTAGGCCAGGTGTGGTGGCTCATGCCTGTAATCCTAGCTCTTTGGGAGGCTGAAGCAGGTGGATTGCCTGAGCTTAGGAGTTTGAGACCACCCTGGGCAAAACGGTGAATCCCCATCTCTACTAAAATACAAAAACAAAAAACAAAAAAAAAATCTCGCCTCTACTAAAATACCAAAAAAAAAAAAAATTAACTGGGCATGGCAGTGAGTGCCTGTAATCCCAGTTACTTGGGAGGCTGAGGCAGGAGAATTGCTTGAACCTGGGAGGCGGAGGTTGCAGTGAGCCAAGATTGCACCATTGCATTCCAGCCTAGGCGACAGAGTGAGACTCCATCTTAAAAAAAAAAAAAAGTATATATATGGTATAAAATAAGCTCATTTAAGAGTGAAGGAAATAGGCTCATTTAAGGGGGGAGGCAGGGAGACTATATGTATATGCAAACTAATTGCATATTCGACCTAAGTTAAAGCCTCAATAAAATATTTAGATATAAACCCTTTTCTTTATAACCCTTTCCAGTGCCTATTTTGGTGTTACTCTTACTTAATAGCATGAATAATTATAAAATCCAATTTAAAAGTTTAGATCCCAGAGCACAGATCACTCTAGTACCCACATAGCTCTGAATTTTAAGTTTGTATCACCTAGACGTGTATTGCTTGGGCAGATGGCAGCTCACCAGCAATCTTCCCAGTCAGGTTCCATGCCCGCCCTCCACACCTTTCTGTGTCCCTCTTACTTCACAAAGGCTGAGGAGGGCAGCAGTGGAGATTCTGCCAACCCTATGGCAACATGGAGAAAGGAGGGAGGCTTCCTTTCTTCTACTGCTTGGTAGCCCTAATTGTTCAGCAAATTGATTCTAAGCCCAAAACTTAAAAAGATACAAGAAATCTTAAAATAAAAACCAAGCTTTTCCCCCTTTTCTGTCTCTCCAGTGATTGAAGCTTTCATTATATCATTCAGTAATAAGCGTTTAAAGAAAGGGAGAACTATTTCGAGGTTGAAGACTAGGTAATCTTGCCATGAGTTGGCACAGATTTCTATAGTATTATTTATGAATGGTAGATGAATTGTAGTAGATCAGAATGCAAGTATACTTTCCTTACCTAAACTCCTAATTTATAGGCAATAATCCTGGGAGAATTGCCCAGGTTATGTGGCATTCTACCAGATGCCAAATATTTTAGAAGGAGTTCTTTCCTATTAGTATTTTCAGTTTTGAAATAGTGTCCCTTACTTCAAACAATGCATTAAAATCTTCATTTAATTTTTGCTTTCATTTTATGTTGTTCATCAGTTCATTGCTTGCAGATTAATGGCAAAAACCCTCTTCTGCATCCCAAAATACATCTTCTATATGCATTGTTCTGGTGCTTTGGACATTGTAGCATTGGGTCCCTAAGAATAATGTTTTCAATGGTTAAAAACCTCCCAGAAGACAAGTGCGAAATGTTGCTCACAGAGTAGTTTTTTCTCAGCACCTCAGTACCTTCTTTATTTCTCTTCCACAGTATACATGGTTAGAGTTGGCCCCTACTAACACCATTCCCTTGCATGTGTTTCTGAAAATCTATTTGAGAAATTTCTACCTTAAGTTTGGGGATGGATAGAATTTAGGATTGCTTATTTGTATTTGCTTGATATAATTTACATCTTGTTGCTGTAGATGAAAGTTCTCTAAAAGAGCATCATGCCTATTTTGCAGTAGCTCTAGAAACATTGCCGCTGTTTGAATTCACTATCTTCCTCCCTCCTCAATGGGATCTTTTAATTTAGGCTTCATTTTTAGCCTATACAATAATGTTCAGTAAAATGAGGTTTTATATTTTCCTTTTGACAGGGGATCATTGAACTAAACGTGAGAACTTCCAGTTTTGTTCTCGAACTTTTCCCTGAGAGAGGCTCACTAGTTAAGGAAACTTTAAAGATTTATGAATTTTTTTTATGATTCTTTGAAAGTGATTTTGGATAAATGTACCACAAGTGATGAAGAGGTTTAGGAAAGAGATTTTCTGACTGTCTGCTTGCTATCATATAGGAAAGAACTTAAAGAGAAAAGGGAGGAAAAATCCTAGACACTGTAGGAACATGGGCTAGAGAAGTATGCTCTGTGTATCTCAGAGATGATCCTGGAGAAAGTGTGACTTTCAATATTCGTAAGCATTTCAGCTCCAGGAATTCAGGGGAGAAGGATTCTCAGTCCATTTTGCCATCTTGCTGTTTGTGACCATGTGTATATTTGTAACATCATTCATGATCTCCTTTTAATGGTAATTGTCTAAGATTATACTCTGTATGACTTTGTTTTCTAGGCTTCGGGAGCAAGTTCTGCTTGAACCTAGCCGACGGTTATGGAAACCCATTGACATTCCAAAACAATATATACACATAACTATGTATTTGTGTGTGTGGGTGTGTGTATATATGTATATGTATGTGTGTATATATGTATATGTATATACACACACACACATAAATCAGCCAAAATCAGAGAAAAGGAACAGGGATTTAATACCTTTTTTATGCTTATTTTTGTCAAACATGTACTCCTTTCATACGGGTGGCTTTTACAAGGCAACTTCCGTCATTTAATGTTTTCAACTGTAATTGTCTTAATGGAAATGTTAAAATTCATATCTGATTAACATTTTTAATAACTTAGAGGAGATTTTAACTTTAGTTATTTAAAAATAGGTAAAATTATTGTACCAAATTATATCTAAAGTTTATTCAGGGGTGATTTCCCTGATGTGTGTATAAAATCAAGATCTTATTTTACTGATGCATAAGTCCTAGTGGGTCAAGACTAGGCATATGCTTTCAGATAAATAAGGAATTACTCCAATCAGTTTTCCCCAATCAAAGAAGCCATGTCATTTTACTTTTAGAAACACACAAGTGGGCCCAATATGGGAATTTTCATAATAGTTCATACATTTGTCAGCTAACATTAAAAGGTAACCAACTCCTCAGGTATTTGTAGTTTACCCTAACGCTTCTTTAAAAGAAAGTAGGTAAAAAAAGAAAAGGGTAGATAATCTTTCGTATGCAAACTTTTTCCTTATATTTTGTCTTTCTTTCCTTTTTGACTTTAGTAGCATCCTCCACACATTTGTGTGCCTGATTTGAAAGGAAGCTGGGGCACCCAGCGAGTTTAGCCTTTAAGTTTCTGTGTATTGATTTGCAGATTAAGTAATGCTGGGAGGAATAAAGAAGGGACAGAAACATGGAACATAAAGCATTGAAAATTGCGGTGCTTGGGCTTCTGCTTCAGAGTAACGTCAGTGGCTTAGGGTTAAATGGCCATTTTATTCAAATGCTTGCTATACAATCTGAAAACACACTGGCAGGTACTCCTCTCCTTGGCAATTCATTGAGTATCCAGAGTTCTACGATGTTTAACTGAAGAATTGGCTAATGTGTTGATCCTCCAGTGTGACTGTTCTTTTTGTTTGGGGGTGGGTCTGGGGTTTTTTGCTTTTTTATTCCTGAAGCTTACCAGATATGAATGGCTAATATTCCATTGTTCTGCTTATTGTAATGGTGAATGCTTTAAGAAAAAAAAAAAGTGTAATTTGCTAAGAATAATTCATGATCTGTTTATGCGATAACTCCTTTTTGTTACAATTTTTTTAAAAAAAGCTATTTTTGTTAATGTAAAGTAAATATTTCAGAGCAAATTTTTTAAACTTATTGCACTAAATACAGGCTCTGTACAAAAAACAAAAAAAGCCTCAGCATTTTATCATTCCATGGAAGAAGAATCTTTTGAAAGAAAGCATTGCCTCCTACCAGAACTAGACAGTGAATGAGACCGGTATTATGGACACGCATACAAGTAATGTCACTAGGGCTTCATAAGCAGCTGTTTGCTAATGTGCTTCCTTTCAAAGGGTTGGACCTCTAAATTGCTGCAAAAGGTAAATGGTATTTTTTTTTAAGTATTGGTGTTCTTTACTCTAGCTAGGCTAAAATTTGCTAAATGCCTTGGTTTCTTTTCAAAGTTCATGTAATATTTCTGATTTTTCAGAATATTTGCAATAAGAGTCTGGATTTTAAAAAACACACACATACACACAATTAAGAGCTCATGTCTTAGCAAGATCTGGGAAACCAACATTGCAAGAGTAGCTATTTGGAAAGAATAATTCTCCAGAAGTTAACATCTAACATCTAGTATCACCAAACAGTATCACTGTTCTCTTTTATTCATTTGATATGGAGTAAATATAATTATGTAACTAACAATTGTCCAAATAGATGAGAGAGCAAATCATGTGAGAAAATTCAGAATACCATCTGTTTCATAGCCACACAGATTTTGGACTTTCACAAACATTGGGAACTAAATTTAGAATTGGCAAAAGTCTAGAAGATGGGTATCCAAACAGAAGATGTTCCAGGAGCTAGCAATTTAAAGAGGTGTCCCTCCAAAGTGACCTGATGGAAGTCCTGAACTTGGAAATTAGGTTCTACTCACTTGGACATCCCTGCATCATGGACTGTTGCTGCTCCCTGTTCCATATGCTCGCAATCTCAGCTATTTGGAAGCCACCAGGAATGCTTTCTAATTATCATTTGCAACTAGAACTGTAATCAGAAAGAAATTTTGTATTTTTGTATAACTTGATTGTGTGCCATTTTATATAACAGGTCCTGTTTTACAAATAAATTTTGTTTTACTAACATTGTGTTTAGAAATTATAATCTATGTGTAACCATGTCATTTGAGTTGCAAATTAATTGCCAGGCTGTTTTCCTTAAGTAAATTCATGTGCCATATAGAAATATGCATATATGCATATACATTACACAGGCACACACAGAGAGATATTTAATATGTGGAATATCACTCTCTCATGAGCTTTATTCCTTGATTAATTTGATAAAGCCTCACAGAAGATTTTAAGCAATATTTAAATGTGTTGAGGTTATGTTTGGATATTCCTGCTGCCTCTTTTCATTCATTTCAAGTCATTCTTCAGCTAGCTATGGGCTGCCTTATTGCTATTCGCTCACTGCTTCCATCTTCTGCCCAAGTGAGAAGAATAGATGAAGAACAGAAATTTATCTGTGAAATGTGGATACCCGAATAATTTTATAAATCATTGATTCTGTGTTGTGGTTTTTGTCTTCTTCTGTGGTGAATCTTCAAAACTGCATTCAGGACTCATATTTCTAGAGTTTTAGTTGGGGTCCTCTATTGTCAATTGTAGTAGTGACCAGAGTATCATGGTTTCTGCCATCAGATAATTAAAGCTCTGGTGCATAATTTAGACTTTCTAAGCTTCTGCCTCAAGAATAAGGTCTTCCATAATACGGAAGAGAAAAGTTATGTTTCATTGTAAATCCAAGAGACCCATCTTCTATGAGAGGCTTACCGGTGCAGTAGTAATAAAACATTAGCAATTTAGCTAGAGCACTGAGATTGTATAATCCTTGCGTGGATGAGCAGAGCTCAAAGCCAGTTGTTCCCTTAAACCATTTAATGCAATGGCTAATGTTTAGGATTAAAGTTTTTATTTTATCCTATAAGATAATTAAGTCCTAAGTCACTACAACTTAAGTAGCTTAAGTGTATGTTGGTCCCCAAACTTTTTCCATAATGGTTAAGGAGGAGGCACTTACTGAGTTTATTTTAAAGTTATGCTAGAAGTGTTCTTCTTTTATAGAGATGCTCTCTCTCTCTCTCTCTTTTCTTCCCCCCCACGAAGGGCATTAAGCTGCTGATTGTAAGTGATTTCCAGTACCACTGATCTTGGTATCTGCCAAGGGCTTCCTTGCCTTCCCTGGGCAGTTTTAGGATTTCACCCCAGTAGGGGGTATGAGGTACTGACCCCTTTATTCTGGACCCAAACTGCTTTAGAGCAGAGTTAATACCTCTCCCTCCCTCTTCAGAACAGCTACAGGAACTGCAGGCACCACATATGTGTGAGGCCACATCACTGCCCCTGAGGCTTCAACCATTTCCACCATGCACTATCACTGGCTACTAACAGCCATTTCAAGAGATCTTGTAGCCTGCAAGCTAGAATTCTGGGATCAGTTCCAAAACCAGAACTGCTAGTAATGTTGACTTGAATATTTTATTTGATTTTTGGTCAGTAACCTTTTCATTTAAATTGGACTTTCCAATAGCCTTAACATGGCCTCTGAGAAGTTTCCTCCAGAAAGGTCTTTAAGCTTTCGCTTTTCAATAAATAAATTCTTTACTGCTTTTCTACTGCTGCTTAAAAACAACAACAACAACAAAACTCTCAGAGTCTGGAGGCTTATCAGTGTACCTGCCACAGTTAATTTCTGTATTCTTTTCATACATTCCATCTGACAAATAAGAGTGCACTATCATGGCTTGCCTAGAGTTGTTAAGAAGTGGTCTGTGAATACATATCGAAAAAATGTGGGTTCATAAGTAAAAGCGTAACGCAGAGATTTGTGTATTCTGTATTCACAGCATAGGCTGCCTTTTGCTTTAAATGCATATTCGTGTATCTTTGTGTACTAAGAATGCGTGTTAGCCTTTTTGAAAAGTAGGCACTGTTCATACACAGTAGCTTCTTGGAATTAACTCACCTTTGTTAACTTAGTGGCACGTAGTCCAAATTTTAAAAAAGCAAGACCCTCGAGTATGCCAAAAGAAAATCTAAAGCTAGCAAACTTAAAAAACAAAACAAAAATTACACATGTTGTGTACACTTATGAATTTAGAATACCACATTTTTCCCATTCAGATTTCATACATTTGAGCCAAATTCTTATATTCCACGTTTTAATTTTAAGAGGATAATTTTAATCCAAGATTTAAATCTTTGAAAATATCTTTCTTATAGAAAACTTCAATGCAGTTTTTAAAGTTACTGATTTCTGTGGAAAACCTTTCTTTTCTATAGAAATACTATAGTGCCCTTTCTTCCTCCCCATCTTGGTTTTGTATGTGTAAAGACAAATGATGATTCAGTTTCTCAATATTGCATGAACAATTGCCACTTTTGTAAATTATATGGACAGAATGTGTTCTAAGGAAATTCATTAGTCAATTTGTGGAAAATATGTGAAATTGTTAGAGACCTATTAGGCTATTCAGTTTTGATGCTCAGTTTTACAACTTAAATGATTTTCTCCAGGACACGGAGCTCAGAATAATAAAGCTTTTATTGATGGGCTAGTGAAGATCTAGTTGAACATGGAAACATTGTAATTTACAGATGTCTCAGAAATGTTTCACTTTTATTTGCTAAGACCTGAATTTAATATTTGATATTCAAAAACAAGTTATTTTGAAGGGGCAGTGGGTCTCTTTGAGCTCGAGAAAGTTATGGACTATCTTTCTCTCAAATGCACATCGCATGTCTGTGAACACTCAGAATGCTCATAGAATCTCAGGGCCCTCAGACTGCCAACTGCCACCCCTCCACCCCCTCAGAGTCTTAATGAACCCAAGTCAAAAGCCTGCTCTAAAGTTGTTCTGATAATGTGTTTTGAAATGAGGAAGTGATTAGGCCTCCACTAGAGATACTTTTGAGATGATGCTTACCACCTTCTGACCTGGAATCATTTTTATAACTTAAAGACTTTATGTAATTTAGTAGCAGGTTAGGGAATAGAAACCACACTAATCTGAAGGAATAACAAGATGATCCACACTGAATCTTCGTAACACTAAGATTTTTTTTCCTTGGAGGTGTGAGGGGGGCGTGTGTGTGTGTGTGTGTGTGTGTGTGTGTGTGTGTGTCTTTGGGGGTTATTTGGGGCAAGGTAGCAGATTATTTGCAATGAGCCAAAAAAAAAAAAAAATCCAAGAAGAAATAAATAGGGAATCTTTGTAATTAATCCATCTACCAAAACACTTGATTCTTTTTATTGTAACTCAGCTATGGCATTATGTGGCTTAGTGTTATCAGTATACTACTGTCTTAAAATATATTTGTCAACATGTCCAGGAACAGTTGAAGATGATGATAAATTAGCAAACTCAAGTGTAGTCCATAGTTGGCAAAAGATAAATTTGGTAGAAAGTTGGAGGAGCAGATGCTAAAGGTAGAAATGCAAAAGGTGCTTTTTCTCCCTGCATAAATCAGGAAGGTGTTTTCTGTTTTAGTGTTTTCCAGTCACCCACTAGAGCAGCTTCGGACTGCTCTGCCAATAGAACTCCGCCCCCAGTCCCTTCCCTACTCCATCTTCTTTAGGAATATGTGAATTTCTTCACATCCGCACCTAGTACTATTAGGTAAGGGTGCTGCATCTACATGGAAGGCTCCCTGGGCCCTTGAAAAAGCAGGCAGACACTCATCAAGGGGTTTGAAGTTCTTGTGAAATTTGATCCCAGTGGCTGATGATTTATAGTCAGACATCAAACCATTGCCTACCTTTTCAGGCTGAAGAAAGTGGAAATGTCATAACTGGCTGGTGAAGAAAGGAGAAAAGTCAGCTCCCTACTGCACCCCACACTCCTATAAAAGTTTGGGGGTTTTTTGTTTTTGCTTTTTTTTTGAGACCGAGTCTCGCTCTATCGCCAGGCTAGAGTGCGGTGGCGCGATCTTGGCTCATTGCAACGTCCACCTCCCAGGTTCAAGCGATTCTCCTGCATCAACCTGCTGAGTAGCTGGGACCACAGGCATGTGCCACCACGCCCAGCTAATTGTAGTATTTTTAGTAGAGACGGGGTTTCACCATGTTGGCCAGACTGATCTCAAACTCCTGACCTCCGGTGATCCACCCACCTCAGCCTCCCGAAGTGCTGGGCTTACAGGCGTGAGCCACCGTGCCCGGCCTAGAAGAGCTTTAATGAACCTTCCACAGTAGTAAATGCAGAGACCACTGGTGGAAATTCCCATATTGGATAGAAAAGGGCCTAAGTCCAGTGGAAGTATCTAAATTTGATACGTCTTTTTGTCACAGAAGTGTAGGACTTAAAGGGAATATTCCGACCTTCGTGTATGAATCTGATCCACCCATCCTGTCAGCTAGGATTATAATTTGAGCTGTTTTGGGAGCATGTGTTAAATCATATGAGTAAAAAAAAAAAGTGGGCATTGAAAAAAAGACTTGGGAATAATTGGGCAGATAGAATGGGTTCCATGGATCATCCTAGTTGCCACTAGAAAATGTGAGCTCCTTCTTCATTTACCATGTTGATAATCAGGTCGTGACTTTTTTTTGTTTTTTGTTTTTTCCGTAAATTGTATTAGATACCACACAGGAATGTGACAATCATAGGATAGCTTTGGGGGCTGGTGATTTGAAACAGGGACTATTAAGTAGATTTTCCCCATTCTCTAGGTTCCAGTAGTCTGTGCTCAGAACTTGGTTTTTGGCCCCTATTGTGTTTGCCTATTTTGATTTTCTGAAATGATCACATGGGGACAGTTAACTTTTCTTCTGCTGTGTTGCCTTAATGCTAGTAGATTGTGTTGTGTTGTTGGAGTTTTCTGATTTCTTCCCTATATGAGGGTACTAAGAGCTCCATCATGAAAAGAAGTTTTTATACTTTCTCAAAATATTCTGGACCACTGAATGCACTTCTAATAGATCTTACACCTAAAGAAGTTAGTTCAGTGGTTGTTAACTGATTTGATTACAGGAGGAAAAAAAAACTTTATAACTAACAAAAAGGTGGGGAGAAAAGTGTGAAGGGCATCAAGCAAAATGACAGGGGCTTCAAAAAACAACCAAAGATAAAACCCTATCTTCTGAAGACCAAAGGTCCAACTTCACTTACTGGCTGGCACAGCCTTTCTGAACTCCTCGAGTTTAGAATGGAGCTTCTAGAATAATAAGGCAGCCAAATTTAAAGATCAGTCAATACAGTAGGGACCTGCTATTGATCTCTTAGGCACTGAGTCTTCACATCCAGTGTCAAGCCCAGCCCAGCATATGGGGTGATATGAGCAGAAAACACACATCAGTGTGTTTTGATTTCTTGTGGCTGTGTAATGTGGCATGAGAAGTATATTGTGGTGCCACATATTTCTCAATCTGATGCCTTTTTTTTTTTTTTTTTTTTTTTTTTTGCCATTTGCATTCTATTTCATAGTGCCAGAATGAATTTTCGTATCTTGTCTTGTCTTTGTCCATTATAAAGTGGAGGATCACAGTTAAGCCTTCTATAGTTTGGGATCATTTACCTTACCATTATTTTGGATTTTTTTCTTGTTACAGTGTCACTACACTGTATTCATGTGGGGGAACAAACATGTAGGTGCTTGAACATGCCCCACAGACACAGTTGTAGCCCCAGTATTTGTGACTGTCGTTATTGACACAGTGCAGACTTTACAGATGGAGCATTATGCTCTCAGAGAACTTTAAAAATATGTATATTAAGCAATTAACTTTCTGGAGTTGGAGTTATCAAATCTTGCTGGGAAATTAACTTCCAAGAGCTCTGAATTGGATGGAATTCCATCTGGCTTCAGAGAACAATCAGCCTATATGAAATGGAGCTTTGAAATGTTTTTCTTGTGCAGAAATATGAACTAGAAAGAAAAGTGCTGGTCTAATGCTAAGTTTTCTCTGTGTACTGACTCAGTTGCCAGAATTATAATGAAAACTGTATTTTAGTCTAACAAATGTATAGAATTTTTTATGTAATAAATAAAATTTTATAGGAAAGAATGTTATTGTCTACTGTGTTGTAACACTTCCCCATGCCCAGCGTGGTGACTGATAAAATCATGGGCAACATCTTCATTTCAAATTAGGTCAGTATGCCGCAAGGGTGCCCCAGAATTTCCCATCTATTCCTTTCTGTCTCTCACAGCATGTGCTGGGGGCTTCGGAATAACAAATATAAATGTACTAAAACCAATTTCTGAAGTACAAAGTTCATCCACTGCCCGGCCAGGCTTCATAGCTGGAGTCTGAGTTGCCATATGAATCCTAAGATTGCAACTGAACTCAATCATCAGGCAGAGTAGAAAAGCCTCCACTGGCCTGGGCACAGTGGCTCACGCCTGTCATCCCAGCACTTTGGGAAGCCAAGGCGGGTGGATCACGAGATCAGGAGATGGAGACCATCCTAGCTAACACAGTGAAGCCCCGTCTCTACTAAAAAAATACCAAAAAATTAGCCGGGCGTGGTGGCGGCGCTTGTAGTCCCAGCTACTCGGGAGGCTGAGGCAGGAGAATGGCCTGAACCCGGGAGGCGGAGCTTGCAGTGAGCCAAGATCGCCTCACTGCACTCCAGCCTGGGCGACAGAGCGAGACTCACTCTCAAAAAAAGAAAAGAAAAAAAAAAAAAAGAAGAAGAAAAGCCTCCACTGGACAGCGTCCATCGTGGAAAGCATTCACTGTGCCTGGTACAGTGGTCTGCACGTGAATTGAAGCCTGGATCTGTACTGAGTTTAGTGCATTTGTGAAACTGTGTGGTGCCATCATTTAGGCAGTAGCTGTGCCCCATTGAAAGTTTAGAAAAATCAATCTTTTTAAAAACCAATAATTGTAGGTAATATTAGGGACTAAGGAAGGGATGTTCTTAAGTGGAAGACCTTTTGGAATACCATACACCTCTCCTAATTTGTTTTGTGATTTTGGATTTTTCGTGAGAGGCTGCACTGTAAACTGCCTTTTATTAACAAATGTGAGCTGATGATAGTCCTGGCTGTTTATACCATCCTGCCAAAAAGAGTTTACAGGATAATTGTGAGGAGGCTTAAACACTGGAGGGATTTGAGATTCTGAAGAATGTTAACCAATCTGGACTGTTCTTTCTTTTTTTGAGTGGTTCTGATGCAGATTGACGTAATTCTGTTATGTAGACTACCTAATGATTAAAGAGCCTGTGAAAAGCCTCACGCCTGAAAGGTAACCTGAAAGTCTTTTCTTTCTGTTTGGCTATGGAAAGTGTACTCTGTACTTAACCTCAAATCGAAGGAAATAAAAATCTAGAGGATTCTTTCAGGAGGCACAAAACTTATGCACCCTATCTTAATATGTAAGTAGTGATTAAAATTTTAGCTGCTTTAAATAGCTGTACAGCTCAAAGCTCTTACAGATGTTGAAGGGTTCAGAAAGAAGCTGGTACCTCGAGAGGCTCCTTTGCCTCATATGTTTGATCAGATGCTGTGGAACTAACCTACTGAGTTTGTGCCTCTACCAGGGGTGTCCAATCTTTTGGCTTTCCTGGGCCACACTGGAAGAGGAAGAATTGTCTTGGGCCACACATAAAATACGCTAACACTAACCATAGCTGATGAACCAAGAAAAAAAAATCACACACACACAAAATCTTTTAAGAAAGTTTACGAATTTGTGTCAAGCAGTATTCAAAGCCATCCTGGGTGGCATGTGTCTCGCGGGCCGTGGGCTGGACAAGCTTGCTCTACACGTTGTTTTTTTCACTTGTGGCAAATAGTAGTGAAAATAAGAAATGCTTTATGCCTTTAATTTGATAATATGCCTCATGTCATTTACTGTCCCAATTCCAAGAAAAATAATTTTAGCAGATTCACCTAGGTTAAATTTAGGATTCCAGAAAAAGTAAAGCTAAGCTATTAGACCATTTCATGGGCTTATCAGCAATTTCAATAGAAATCTTAAAGCGCTCTAGGTACTTACAAGCTCCCTGGCCAGGACTGTCAGACTAGAGAGGCAACAGTAAGGAACTGCCTTCAAGGCAAAACCAAGTGGCCTTCAGTCAGTCTCGGGTTACATCTTGTAACCTCACACTGGGAGACAGGATATTAGGTATTTAAGGTTGGTCTACTCACTCCATCTTCCAGAAAGGATTCTCACAGCTTACAACAAAATAAAACAATTTTAACACACACGCACACACAAGTTGTGTAATAAGCAAA